TTGCTAAAATAAATATTTATTCTATTTAAAGAAGAATATCAAATTTCAAGTAAATCTGTGTATTGTATTAAGTAAATTAATTTAAATCATTACATTTTCTACATTCAACTAAAGATTTCATGAAACAGAGAATACTATTTATCAAATGAAATCATGGTTTTTGTCAAACAAGAAATCCAATTTTCTTCGCTGTAAAACTTGTATCTTAGTAAACATTTTATAGAATTAAAGTAAAATTTTTTAAATACAAAATTATCTACTATTTGATATTTAATAAATACTTAAATTAAAGAAATGCACGTTTTAATTCATTATGTTTTAAATTTAAGTTAATAAGCTATTAGGAGCCACCTAACGAGTAATTTTCTTGAGTAAAGTAATACTTTTTTGGATTAAGATATTTCTTTTATCAGTGTAGAGAGAATTAAATGAATGTACATAAATGCGGCAAGAGCGAGGGAATGGAAGAAAAGAGATTGCGTAACAATTAATAATTGTTTTTATCACCACCGTCACTCACAATGTGGCAGGCAAATATTGGTTTACGTCTCCGCGAGGTATTGCATAATTCCGTGAGATATTGTGCGATGCATCGTTTTCCTCGAAATGTCGCGACACGATCGTAGCTCGTAGTAGGTAGTTTGAGAAATATGATTAATCAAGGCGGGGGCATATGTAAAAGGGTATCGGCCTTTCTCGTCGTCGTAGTCGTCTCGTTCACTCCGCGTAGCCGTGCCCCACTCTATCCGAGAAACCAGCAGCAGCCAACTGGTTTAACTTGGCCGGTTCCCTCGCCACGAGCGTCACGAGGAGCATGACGAAGGCATTCGAAAATTTGTATGCCTCCGAGGAAACGCCGTATAAAACGTTGTTTCGTCTCTCTCGCTCTTTCTCCCGCGTCTCGGGTCGCGATCGTTGCGGATAACGTGTCTCCGTAAGCTTCGTCGTTGTTTAAAGGAGGCATACCGAAGACGTTTGTCATTGAAGGCGATTACGCCGCAGACAATTAGGCCGCGTTAATTCTGCGACATTATTACCCGTCACGAGATATCGCGAAGAGACGTACGCGCGATCGCGCGCGTTTTCATTTAGATAATATCAGTATTTGTATTATATTCGATAGGTGAATAGTCTCGAAGTAGAATCGTACAACGCTACGTGAGAAAAATATGCGATTAAAGGTGCGGAGTAATTTGTTGAGGTACGTGGGATTCGTGTCGATTTAAAATCAATTTTGCGGGCAGTGAGCTATAACGAACAGTGAATCTGCTGACGGTTTCAAGTTTCACACATTCCACGCGTGCACGTGCATACAAAGTTAGCGCCTTTGCGAGCAGAATAATAAGGTTCGGTAAAGTTCGCGATCTTGGAATTCGCTCTGACGCGTAGGCGAAGGTTCTCGCTAACAAAAGATTTCGAATACTTGTGTAGATCGACTTGTCGCAGCGGCACAAACCCCGTCTGCCAATTAATTTACACAATTCCGACCGCGATGCGAGCCCATTTATCTCACCCTTGAATTTTATGGGCAATATTCTGTCGTTCGAAACACTTTTTTAATTGTTTTGACACTTAAGGATAATTTACGCCTACTTAGCTGATCTATACACCTACATGGACCAGCAATAACCTACTTTGATGACATTATATTTTTTACTCCTCCCTTGAAATCTTTAATTCCACAAATGTACTTTAGCTCCCACTTAAAAGGGCCTACTTTAATGCAAAATTGACAAAAATAAAAATTTCCGATACTATCAGTGTTGAAGTAGGAGTAAATTTTGTACTCGCAGTTCGACCTCTTTTACTGTCTTGGGTTCAACTGTATAATAGAATTAAAGGTTTAACGTAGGGCCAAAATTTCGACTCGGAAAGTATTCCAGATTTGTCGAAATTGTTGAGACTATTCTGTACGTTAAAATGTCTCGATGAAAGATTCCGGAAATATCACTTGAAAAAGTATATAATCAAATGTTGCTACTATAGCATATTCAGAATTTATCGTGTTGTTACGAAGTAACGCTATTTTATATTTTAATTATCTACATCTTTTGTGTCTCGCAATAATAACTGTATAGAGCCAGACGCGTTTATTATACGCGCTTCTATTCTTCGCTTGGTCGTGAGATTAATTAATCATTGCGTCACGCATTAACGAGAATATACTTCTCGTGACCGCGGAATAACGAGCGTGTTCTTTGGATGCGCGCGTATTAAACGCAAGTCGGGCAAGGCCCAGCCTTTTATGCTTCCATTATAATCACGCACGATTACTCCGAAAAGCAGGAGGCATAGCCGCAAAGCCACAATATCTCGAGATAAGAACGTAAGCTATATTTTCGCGCGACAATTTCTTTCTTGAAAGAGGACGATTTAACTCTCGCTTGATTCCTCGCTTGAAAGATACAAAGAACGGAGAAGCTCCTAAATATTTTTTCCCTGCAAACCTTGAAACAGTAGCAACGATATAATACGTCAAATTTCTTCAAATTCGTCTAATGTCCATTTCTATCGATGTAGATTAATTTTAATCTCGATTTAATTTTTTATCCTCTTCTTAGACCTAGAAGACATAAAAGTGAACTGAGATCAGAATTAATCTGCACCAATGGAAACGGACGTAAGATCAAAAAAGGATTGACAAACCAGGTGCGAGAGACAACGTTTAAAGTCACTTCGGATTCCGCGAGTTAACGACGGCCTTTGTCACCAATGTAACTTCTGCAAAATGCGCGTTTAGGTAATGTTCGCCAAGGCGAGGACGAGCACGTGTCGTTTCACAGAAACCAAGGCCGACGGCGACGAAAACGAGAGGGAGGCGACCCGGGCACTCCGGTCGCATCGGCCTTTTGTCCCCCGACGAGACAATCTATGGGTCGAGGTGTGTGGCGCTTAGGACGGGTTCCTCTCTTTCCCTTTCTCCCTTTGTATATCGATCTCCCCATACACATCTGCCATTTCCGGTCGCGCGCGCAACGTTATTACCACGAACATATACATCGGGGAGACGAGGGGGACCCTTTTCGCTGAAGGTTCCGTGGATTTTCGTAAGGGCGACGCGGAGGAAAACAGTGCGAATCGTCATCCCTTTACTCGCGCGGCAATCTCGTTGAATGTAAGCGCGGCGAGGCGCTTCCGCTTTTGTTCGCCGAAAGTACAACTACGTGCCGAAGGAACGGGAATAATTGTCGCGAATAGGTGAGCGACATTTGTCCGCGTTCGAAGACAAAGGGTGTGTCCGCAGAAACGAAAAGTTGCCGGAAACTGCTAATTCCTAAAGCCGTCTCTTAATCTCTCCCCTCAAAACGCTTTGACTTTTTCCTACGAATATTTCAAACAAAAGATTTTGAATTTTCATAAGTACGTAAACGACCTCACTGGCAATTCTTTGTCATGATAAAACACAACGTTTCGGCCGGTAATACTGGGGCTCGATTCTTGAATTCATTCCAAGAAGAAACGCACGCGGATATTCTGCTCTGGCAGAAAAGCTGCAAGTTGATTGGTTATTCGCACGGGAACTAATCGACTTGCAACTTTTCTGTCAGAGCAGAATTTTCGCATACGTTTCTCTATCGGGTGAATTCAAGAATCGAGCCCCAGGTCCTCTTCAGGTGACGCGATCGGTCAGTCCCATCAGTTCCATCTGCGGCAACTAAACGAGCTTAGTCGCCGTCGTGTTCTGCCGTTAATTACGTTTGCTATCGCAACGCATCATATTCCAAAGACTCTCGTCTTCTCGATCATCCGCGAAACTCAATCAGTTCCTCAAATAGCGTAATCGAGGATCGCCGGGAGGATCAGGATCAGGAGAAGATTGATGGTCGACTCTTGCGGAATGTAGTTCGCCATGGAGTACTGTTTACTACCGTAGTCCGTAGTTGAATTAACTACGAGGTGATCTACTGCGCGTATCATTGGCGTAAAACTCGTCTCTCTTTCCTAAGCAACGCTTGCACGATCCAGTCATTATGAATTACTGACTTACACGATAAGAATGCCAATGCCTGCCCCTCGCCGACGTTTGACTCAATGAAACGCACTCCTAATCGCGATCGGCCAGCTGGCATTCATTAGGCATAACGGGAACGTAATCTGATTGCTCGTCAACCGAAGGCGGCCTCGTTCTTTACTCGACTCCTTCGCTGAAATCATTTCCACAGCACCGGAGAGTCATATGCGAGAGGAATATGCTGACAAATAGAAAATGTGTTCTTTTGAAATGCGAACGCGTTTTTTTAAAGAACGCAATCGAATTTTTATTGTCGCGGAAAATTGCAATACACATAGTTAACGGTTTTTCAATTATGAATAATAAAGTCGAAAATGAAGCGTTGGGGAGCAGAGAGCAAACAGGAAAAGCTCTTCATCTAATTTTATGTTAATCTAGAACTCGATTGCCAAAATGAAAATGAGGAATCACGAATACGAAGTGATAAAGGATATAAGAGCCAAGACAGGATGTTAGTGTCTAAATGATTTTAAGTTTTAAAGAGTGACCAAACCAAACGGAAGGTTTCGTCAAGATGACCGTAGATATGTCAGTCTCAGAGTGCGCCTATTTAACGTTCCAGAGATATCGGGCTCCAAAAATTCCCAGGACGCAAGCGATGAACCGTCTGGACAGGCACCAACCATTTGTTTGGAATGGAATGGAACCTTTGGAGCCCGATATCTCTGAAACGTTAAATAGGTGCACTCCGAGACTGTCATATTTGCGATCAGCTTGACGAGACCTTTCGTTTGGTACCTACTTTGTGACCAAAATCGAATGCGGAAAAAAATGGGGCCGATCTCGTTCTCACTCTTTATTGCGAAAAATGTACCTCAGCCAGGGGTTTGAATCTCTCACTAGGCGGGCGTCTCGCCAATTCGATCACCGTAAATGAGGAACTTACGAAAGAGAGGGATAAAAAATATCATTCATATTTCAAGCTAATTCTCGTCCATTGACGATTCTGCCGACGATGACAAAACTGAGGTGCCTCTTCTTTTTACAGATTAAGCGAAAATGGCGCTGTTCAGCTTGGTCTCGGCGGTCGCCGGGTTCGTGAAGCTGCGATATCTGATCGACAAGGCCGTTATCGACAACTTCGTCTTCAGAATGCATTACAGGCTCACGTCGGCCATTCTGTTCCTTTGCTGCATCATTATCACTGCCAATAACTTGTTAGGTAAGGTACCTTCTTTTAATTTCTGCCGCGTTGCCGAAGCTCCCCTGCCGGCGCGAGAATTCTAGAGATTCTTAGAAAATCTTTTAGAAATACGATCGAGAAAGTTTCTTGCGTCGCGACTTTCTTTCATATTTATCGTCGACGTCAAAACGAAGGCGATTATACACCGTATAAAATAAAAAAATAAAAATTAGAATTTATCGCGCCCAGTGTGCAAGAGCAAATCGTCATCCTGTAAATAATGCGGTACAAAAGGAAACTTAATTGGTTCTTTCGCTCAAAATCGAGAGGCTTTTGTCGCCAGGGAATTGAAAAATTTCAGATTAAGGGAGGAAGTTGTAAACAATAATGAAAAATGTATTTTGGATTAAAACGAAGACGTGAAAAATTTGTCTGTTGTTCCAAAAGTACATCTAAAAACCGCATTATTTATGAGATGACTCGCGACAAATGGTGCTGCCGAATATGAAGAATCTTTATATCCGAAGGTGCAGAGGAAAAACCCGGCGGTACTCGGCGAGGAACGAGTTTAAAAATAGACGGCGCGAAGATGAGAATCATTTAATCTGTCCGGGCAGGATACCGCCGGGTTAAAGATCAACAGCGACCACTTGCACCGTAAGCCGAGTGCAGCCGGTCGCCACCTAATCAGACAGTGATTAGGGATGTCGGCGTCGCGTCTTACTCGAGAAAGTACGATTACGTCGGAGTATCAGCGGACGCAAGTTCTACGGCGCACCTTTATCACCGTACGACGAAGACGATATTTAATGTCGCAACAAACGGTTGATCAGAAGCCGCACACCTAACGATCATAATATACCAGCCGGTGTATGCCCGTTTCTTATTACGGTTGTCGGCGAATCGAGGTCGAGTCGCGCGATGTGATTAATGACGAGTGGATCTCTTTGATTACGGGACGAAGCAGTAGGGAGGTAGCAATTATGCTGTAAATGATTACGTGTATGTAACACTAGAAGGGAACGTCTGCTCCTCGTTGGCACTGTCGCCGGGACCGAATGCGACGAACTGATCGTGTCGAAGAAGCTGTAGAATTAAACAATCGTACGGGAATTTGTTGCGCGGCAATGATAATTCGTCATAATTCCGACCCGCGAAATTGGGCGCTCGACGCTCCAAAGATTCTCTCAGAGATTCACGCTGGCTACAAGAATAATCGAATAAACGGTGAATCGTTGCGTAACTTAATTGCCCATAAGCGGCATGCACGATGCGAAACATCTGCGCGCATGTGCGGCACATATGTGACTTGCATTTGCAAAATGGAAAATCTCGGGGGAAACCTATTCATCCTCTGTACCAACTCTATTTTCTCTCTACCCTCATTTTTCCCCTTTTGTTTCTCCACAACGCGTCAGTGCGTATCAATTTTAATTGTTTTGTAAAACAGTAACGTTTTTATCTTCTTTTTGTGACATGCTGTAAAAAAGTGATATTCTATCAAAATAGTTATGTTTCTTTTACATTTTTAAAACACTGGAATTTTCTTTCAATCTATCAAAAACATAACATTAGTCGTTCTCTCAATTATATTCTTATTCAGTAGTTCAAAAATATGGTGGCTGCACTCGACGTTTCTCATAAATTTCGTCACTAATTCTTTATTACCTAAATTCGTTATTCTTATTCTCTCTCTCTCTCTCTTAATTAATTAATCGCTTCGTCTTTGTAGAGAACTTGAAAGCGAAATAGCACAGAAAGTGTTGTATACGCGAATGTTACTAATCACAAAACAGATAACGCTATCTAGACTCGTGTGACTAACGCAGAGTACGTATTGCGAATTTAATGCTCAAAAGAAACATTAGCACATTATCAACCAGGTAAGATTTGATGCTCGGGTTTCGAGTGACTTTGTGTCAAACAATTGCGCAGCATCCACAAAGCGATTCGTTCGCGTCGCATCACGTGTCGTGTACAAAAAGAATTATCTTTGCGAGCGCGATAATGTCGCCTCTGACGTCCGCTAATCACGGGGGATTACGGCATTACGGCAATCCCGCAGGATAACTCCAATGTTCAGGAGATAAACGAGAAATGCGCCAAGACTTTATACGTATAATTAAGCAATTTATAAGTCAAAATACAGAATAAAATTCTACCTGTAATTTTACGTACGGTATAAGAAAAAAAACAAATTATACGAAAAATATGCATTCAAAGTATATAAATTATTCGCGTACACAAAAAGATACGACAGATAATATTATAAACACAATTCCATCCTCCTCGTAAATTATAAATCGTGTAAAGTAGACTTTAAACATTTCAAGAGTCGAAAGGTCCGAGCTACTCTGCATCTCATTTCTCACATAACTTATATCTCGCATCTAACTGATATAAGTATACGGAGAGATCATCGAATTCATCGATCGTGATCGTGAAACGGCCGCGACCTGTAATCGTTTGTCTTTCGCAGGCGAGCCCATCAGCTGTCTGTCGGAATTGACCAACGGCGCTCATGTGGTCAACACGTTTTGCTGGATCACCTCCACGTTCACGCTGCCGGGGACCTTGGCGAAGCCCGTAGGTACCCACGTGGCCCATCCTGGCTTGGGTCTCGATGAAGGAGGGGACAAAAGGTATCACCAGTACTACCAGTGGGTGCCGTTCATGCTGTTCCTCCAGGGCCTGTTATTCTACATGCCGCATTGGATGTGGAAACAGTGGGAGGAGGGTAAGATGAGGCTGATATCCGAGGGCATGAGAGGCACCATGGTGGAGACCAAGCAGGAGCGGCAGGCAAAGATCGAAAGAATTGTCCAGTACCTCACAGACACCATGCACCTGCACAATAGCTACGCTGCCGGGTACTTCTTCTGCGAGGTCCTCAACTTTGTCAACACCGTGAGTATACGTTTGCAACACAAAGAAATCTTGCGAAAGCCACATAAAACACTCGTTTTTTTTTCAAATATATAAGTCATATGTAATTTCTAATTCTATTGCTCTAGAATGTCTCCAAGTTATTATAAGACTAAACTCACGCAGAACAAAATATCGCTTTTACAAAAAGAAAGAGTAGAGTCCAGGTCTTCGTTTGAAATTGATACAATATTCTTCGCTCCAGATCGGCAACATATTCTTCGTGGATGTCTTCTTGGGCGGAAGTTTTCTTACATACGGCATGAATGTGGTGAAGTGGAGCACCTTGAACCAAGATGAACGTAGCGACCCGATGATCGAAATATTCCCGCGCCTGACCAAGTGCACTTTCCACAAGTACGGTGCCTCTGGTTCAATCCAGTCGTATGACGCGCTCTGCGTACTCGCGCTCAATATTTTCAACGAGAAAATTTACATCTTCCTGTGGTTTTGGTTCATCATATTGGCGGTCTGTTCTGGCGTGGCGTTGATGTACAGCATGGCAATAGTGTTGATGCCCAGCACACGCGAAACGATCCTCAGGAAACGTTTCAAGTTCGGCACAAAATCTACAGTTAGCACGCTCATCCGAAAGACTCAGGTGGGATTTCATTTTTCAATTGTAACTTTAATCTCGCGAAGAAAACGCTCTTTTGAAAAATGCCGACGGAACATTTGTCTCGGGTAATATAACACAGCAGCAAAATTTATTCATTCTGGAGGAACCGATAAAATATATTTTCAAAAGTTTCGCTTCACCGAACGATTATCATAAACGCGGTAATCCACTTAAAAATTTAATAGAAACTCTCAAATGAAAGCCGAGGAACTCTGTAACTGTCGGCACGATGCAACTTTTGTAAACGAAGTCTCCGCGGGATAATATAATTAGAAACAGAAAAGTGTCTTCTCAAACGAAGTTACAGTTTTACATTTCAACGCGACGTTTCATTCGGAAAAAAAAAGAAAATTGAATTTCGCAGGTCGGCGACTTCCTGATGATTCACTTGCTGGGTCAGAATATGAATGTCATGATGTTCAACGACATGCTGGAGGAGTTGTGCCGCCGTCTACAATTCGGTAGCAGCAGCGACGCGTCGCCGACGTCGGTGCCATCGGCGCCCAGTACCCTCGAGATGTCGCCGATATATCCGGAGATTGAGAAATTCTCCAAGGACACCGAGATCTAAATGCAAGAAAAAGGCCTCGGCGACTCGGCCGTCGTTACTTCCTTCCACTGCCCCTCCTCCCTCTTTTGACTTGTTCGTATTGTGATAATATCGAGGGCGGTTCTACAGTGCCGTTATCTCGGTGCCAATAAAGAGACAGGTTCGTGCCGCGTCGTCGATTACCTTACCGCGAACGCTTGCAAAACCGTGTACCGCGTACCAGACGTCTCTCCTCGACGTCTCCTCACTGCCCATCGGAGTTCGTGTTCAATGCGGCCTTACTATTACGCGACACTCGTAAAGTGTAAGCTCGAGCCGGCATTAAAAAGCGTTGATCCTTGTCTCCTGTCGACGAGGAGTTTCGCTCATTACTGCGTGCTCGTTGAAACACGAGGCAGTCCTTGGACATTTACGTCCAACGAGACTTTCAATCGAGAATTTCTGAATGGGTAGATCACTATGTGTCTTCATGAAATGCATGTTATTTCTTATTTTCTCTGTTAATTGTATTTTTCATTCAACAAGGTCATGATCATCTCCGATTGGAGCTTCGTTCAAAAGTTTTATTATGAAGATATCCATAAGTCAGACCGTAAGCTCGTATATAAAATAATACATCAATAAATTAGTTAGTACCAACGCGCGAGTCACCTCATCAACTTCTTCGTTGAAACTTTTGTCATTGCGAGATATTTATTTGACATTGTTCGCTATAATGCAGTTCTAATATCTAAGCTTGGGTTGGAGAAACAACATGAATGCTAACCTTCGTCACCTCTTTACTCAGCCAACAGTCGTTATGAGATTTTCATGTGCCGTAAAAACAAAGTTAGGACACAAGCCAACGAGGCTTCTTGCCGATTATTTCTCCAGGAGATTTCTGTCATGTTACTCTATTATGTAGTTTCTTTTAATTCTTTTTCTAGAGATATTTCCGCTCGATTGGTGCGACGCTAATCATAGCGAGAATTACGTGCATTGTGTTTCGACATGTCGCTTAGATTTGTCCGCTAGAAGAATAAAAGGCACGTTGATTATCTTGCACCGACTGCAGCGGCACGAACCGACGTTAGATTATCAAATATATAAATGTAGGCGATAACGCGCGATGCTCTCGAATCGTTAAGTCGCGACAGGTTTCCAAATGTGAGAGACACAATCCTTCTCGCTGTAAGATCCAATCATTTTCACCATTTTAATCACCTGCTCCATGTCGACGTGTCAATGCCGATTTATCTCGCGGTAATTTGAGGAGAGTAACGCGCAAATTGATAACGGTGTTCCTTAATTCCCGTTCATGTTATAAACGCGACATTCCTCTTACATTAGCGACACAAGAAAAAGAGAGCAGACATCGAAGCGGTATCGTGGATACACTGTTGCATTACTTTTGATACTTGCTATTGCGATACATAACAAATGCTCCGCAGATCGCTTATATTAGTTAGACAATAATTAACCCGAAGTGATGTAGAAGAACATTCATTGTCCTATTAGTTGTAACGAGAAATGTTTCGATGTACGTCGTACGATCTCGTTGCAATCTTATAGAAATTCAAAAAGACACAGGTGAAATATGCTGCTCAACAACGAATTCTCTAATCGTTTAAATAATTGTATAAATACATAGTATATATATACATAGTATATATATTAAGTATATTCGAACATCCGCAGGTTTTTCGTGCAAAAAGCGACATTAACTTGAAACTTAATGTTCGAATGCACAGAAAATCCACGGATTGCAGAATATCGCACGATCAACAGCGAAGACGTGAAGATATAACGAATAACTTTACATGATAGACTGTGAAGTAATTACACGTCCTGCTTGTAGTAGCCTAATGAAGATAAATAGCGTATCTATATTTCGATAAGCAAAAGGAGAACAGAAAAGAAGAAATGAACGTTTATGCTTCCCATGACTCATTATTTTTTTTACAAGTATTTTCACGCGATTGGCGCTAAGATTGTAGCGAGGATTGTGGCGAGTAGTATAATTGAAATTTTCGACTGAAAAAGAAAAATACCGTAAGTGCCGAGCGATCCCATTGACCGCAAGTATAGCAGACATTTCACGAAGTATTTTAGCGTTTTCTTTTTCTCATAGATGGCTATGGACAAGCCCCGCAAACCTTAAGAAGCGGACCGAAACAACGTTTGCACGAATACAATATTAGTTCCTAAACCGTGAAAATTAATTACGCCGAGAATAAAAGAAAAAAAACAAAATTTAAATTAAAAATACCCCCTTAAGGAAAAAGATCTGTTAAGACATTACGTATGTAAGTATAGAGTTTCTCTACATGATCATATCTCTCGATACATAAAGATCTTCGCTTTTAACAATACAATTAAGTACTTTGTTAACTCTAATTTGGATTACTTCAGTTTGTTTACGAAAGAACGATATTGCCCCAAGTAGACTTTACTTCGCGCGATTAATTATAACGTACGTGATAATCCTCCTTCCTGTTAATAGAAACAATAGAAACTTTCCCTCGACGCTCGACTACGTTCCCCCACGTCCTCTCGTCCGCGAAGATGATGTATAAGCGCTGCCGAAAATAGCTATGTATAACTACAATAATATAACGCTATGACCCTTTCCCTTTATGATATCCGTAACTCGTTAGATTATCGACAATCGCGTTCCGAGTGATATCTTAAGATAGATGTTTAAGATGAACGAGAGAAAGAGAGAGCGAGAGAAAGATAGGTCAATTATAGGTGTAATAGTTGTTCGTAAAAATATGTGCCTTCTATATACATATATACAGGATTGGGAAAGTTTACTTTATAAAAGTATCTAGTTACAGTTACAGTTTTTTCGCTAAAAATGTAACCGATTACAGTTACAAGTAACGCGTTACAGTTACAGTTACTCAAAAAGTAACGAATCGTTACTTTGCAGTTACTTTCTTGCAAAATAAAAATATCAAATCTACGTTTTAACTGTAAAGCATCGATAAAGGCGTTTATGCGCAAAGGCAAGGCAGACAGACAGAGAAAGTAACGAAGTTAAGGTAGAGTTTCCAAAAAAAGTAACTGTAACTGTAACTTCGTTACAAGTAACGAGTTACTTTCCAACCCTGTATATATACATATTATATATAGAATATGAGACAAAAGATTACATTAGCGTATTCTTTAGAAGGAGCGAAACGCTTCTCCCGCGTTTGAGAGGAAGACTGCCGACATGTGCAACGTCGTTATAGTGATTAATATGAAAGAGAATGACAGAGAATAAAAGAAATTCCTGCCAACAGTATCGTCCATTATTCGCTTTTATGCAGCAATCGCGCGCAAGCGAACTTAATTAGCGCGTGGTCACGCGAGAGCGAATCAATTCCGAAGTCCTCTTCCTCGGCTGCAGTCGCTGAAACTATTCGGTGCAACTGCTTTCTCTAATTGTACAAAGGCGTTTGCTCTCGAACCATTTGACTAAAGTTTGACTAAAGTTTCTTTCTGGTAAAGATTGATTGGTGTTCCGGGGTGTGGGGAAAATATAAATTTTAACATTTTCTTCTCTCCACTCGTAACCGCGATGCCTCGGTTACTAGCAGAAATACGTTTGTGCCAATGTCGAAATACAGTAGATATCACGCGTCAATTATATCATTATCGATGTGCCGCCGTCAGAGAAATTCGTGCGAATCGACTGGTAATTAAAGGAACTCTCTCAATAAATTTCTCCTATAAAAGTATACGTGAGTAACGAGAGGGACGGTTCCCTCGTTCCTGCGGCACGTGTCGCGAATTCAGTGCGGAATAGTGTACTTTTTTTCCGACTTACCGATTCCCCCAGTCCACTTTATTGATTATCCTCAGCTTCAACTCCCGCGTCTGATCGGTGGTGAGGGTGCCGGCCAAAAGTTGCCGCCGCCATTCCAATAGCTCCCGCATCACTTTACGCAACGCGTTGAACTTGTACTCCTCGCGCTCCTGAATCAAACAGCCAGGGCAAAGGATCACTAGCTTTAAATCGCTAAAAAAGTTTCATCCCCGAAAACAGAGAGGAAGACGTGTACTATAAAATCAATCCTTTTCACGTGTTTCGAATGACTGTCCATTACGTGAGGTATACGGAAAAGTAAAAAGATTCTTTTTCCTAAAAGGCGAGGGAGAAGAGCAGAAAAAGGGGGAATTATGTGACCGAATGAAACTTCATCAAAGGGCAGACTATTTATTTAGAGAATCTCTATTAGTATCAAGATACATAAATTTCAAATGCGGAGGGAAATAAATAAGTAAGAAAGGGCGAACCGTACAAAAGGATTGCAATTTTTTCTTCATCGATCGCATTTTTAATAACGAGAAAATATCCTCTCAACCGGAACACAAAGGCGGATCTTTCCGCAATCAGAAAGAACTAGGGAGGGGAGGTAGAAGCGGAAAGAGGTATGCGAGGTGTACTCACCACGTACAACCTTTTCCAAATGCCACCCCATTCCCGCAGAACCAGAGTGACTTCCCGGACCACCGGGTCCTCCAATGGTATAACGGACTCGAAGAGGCCCTCATTGTCGATTTTGCAGGGTTTCAGATGCACGTAGGAACTCGGGAAGATCCCCTTCACCGCGCGATTCTTCGTCGTGAAGCCTCTGTACCAGCCTGCAATCGTCGGGAATCCCATTTCAGTTGCATTTCACTCGACTTACGTCTGATAATGAGGGTTTAATATCCCCGGCACTGGGAACGTGTGAGCGCGCAATGCGCAACCACGCGGCTGTTGCTAATTTAGACAATAATACCGAATATCAATATTGAAATTAATTACCATAAAACGGTATTATTTAATTATTGTAAATTGATATCAGCCAATACAAATTTGCGCGAGATTGTGAAATACAAAAATCGTCTACCTCCATTATTTTACTTGATAAACAGTGCAACAATTCTATCAAATTCCGTTGACTTGAGTAAAGCTTACAATTACAATAATATCAGCGGGACAACAGTACGGATTGATATGTAGAGAGTCCTCTATTGTAAGATATGCTCCTAATATGAGATAGCGGAGTTTTCGTTAAATTAATAGACATCATCCGCTGATTCCCCATGAATTTATTGCCCTTGGAGCGGTCTGTTTAATGAAAAATTAATTCTTCATTAGATTGTGCATATAATTGTTGCAAAAAAAACTTTGTAAAATTGTATGTTGAAAAGGGCAAGTTAGCGAGATCTTAATGCAGGTCCTTGAATGAAAGAAACCGTTGATATACATTTCCCAGTGAGAAATGATTCGTCAATCGATGTCGAATCGATGTCAATTCGACGGTGTTTGGTGTCGATTCGACATTGATCGACGAGTCATTTCTGGCTGGGTTACTCTTCAATATTTTCTCTTTAACTCGTGTCTACGTCACGATAAATCATTTCTACTCGTCGCTGCAGGATGCGCGAGATTACGTTGCACTATCGCGCTTCCTTCCTGGTAATTTCATCATTTCCCTTGACCTTAAGCGATACCAGAACTCGCGGATCGATACGACGAGGCACGTCGATCTCGAGCCCGAGCGAGAAATTAGCGAGATAAGATCAAGTGTCAGATTACGTACCCGCGCACTCCTCCAGGATCTGCACAGTTTCTCCGATTTCCAGGGGTAATCCATAACGCGTGTCCCCCCGCCAGTTGTACACCGCTGTAAAAGAGATCCATAGCGTACGTTATCTGCGAGAATTGTGCGCGCCACGGCGATATGACGCGATGATATTTTTAACGAGCCCCGCCGCCGCCCCCGTCATTCATCAGTCATAACTAGATCTCGTTACATCGTCCGCGTAAACTAACGTGGCACCACGACTGATAACTGTTAACAGCGCGCGACGAAGCGATGCAATCATGCCTATTTGCATTCACTACGAGCTTATGAGCGATGCATGATAATAATTCTTGGTGCCGGATTTGATCGGGACGGTAAAATTGTGACATAATTATATATGTTTAAGAGTTACAATTCACTCCGCGTTAAATTATATGATAATGTGATACAATGTGCAGTGCAAATTATACCATTTCGTCTGTGTATGCTACAATTTATATATATGAACAAATATTATCTTATTTATTCATTAGTGTTAATTAATATTACATATATAATTATATACGTGTGACGTATACATGTATTTAATTTTGCAAAATTAAATATAGGTATACATTTGTGTATTGTAATATCCGTTTTATCGGTACAATGTGCTCGCGAGCAATATAATCGAATGATAAGATTCTATCGTCTTTACAAAGATACGGCTTTGTATTATAGTTCATATCTTCGCAACAGCGTGTAGATTTTTCTAAGCGTTTTACTTAACGCGTTGATAACAGTAATAAGTAAGTTTGTAACAATGATCGCTTCGACCGGGTTAATTTTTCCCCGCGGAGATTAATAGCGCGGGCTTCTTTCCTAGAATTGTCAGCCGCGCTAAGCCGGCTACGGGGTGCCGGATATGCGTGACGATGCACGTATGACGAGCCAGCTTCCGGTCCTCGGTCGCCGGAGAAACGAACGCGAGACGCATCTCAATGAGCGCGTCTCTCCTTCTTTTTCCGTCCCGCTGCTGCCACTCTCTCTCTCTCTCTCTTTCTCTCTTTCTTTTTTCAGCTCAACCTGCGATTTCTCGTATGCTTTGTGGCTCACGTACGCGTAGGTGATACACCGAGGTGAGAAAATATTTAACATCGATATTTCTACAAGAGAAATTGAATCTATTCTCTATAATACTTTTTTATTATTTTTTAATATAAGATAGTGCGGAGTGTAATTCAAAATATCGGAAGGTACGTTTTCAAAATGTTTTCTAAGCCGGAGCTCTCCCCCGTCGTCGGAATTTCCATAAAGATATTTCTCAAATTTATGAGTAGACTCGCTGAAAGCAATCGATGACGAATAAATTTAGTATATAACGTACGTATTTGAAAGAACAGATATATAAGTGAGTTGAGAATCGTGGTGGCCCGGAACTCCAAATTTTGTACGAGTAAAGAAGTAAATTCAGACGCGTTGGAAACGTACTTATAAAACATAAAAAGACGTTTCCTTCTCTCTGAGATCCCATCAACGAAATAAATCTAATTGCGACGCTGCGAGTCGTTCTTTTAGATTCTCGAGTCTCGAAGGCAATTCTTTTCATGTTATGCACACAGTAATTAAGAACGTCATTAATTAGTATTATCTAATGATCGATATTAACGAAGAAATAACGAAGCTGTTTTTGTGTAAAAAACTCGCAAATTACGGCGGCAACAGGATGTGTCGTTATTCGTCTTTTTTGGGACATCCTGTATACGTTAACTGGCATTACGCGTTTGCTCGCCCACGTTTAGGACTGTCTACGAGTGCGTGGGACAGCGTGGCACAATTTTTGACAGCCGCCCATGATGCCGCGCCGCGTGGATTGCCCATTTTTTTTTCCCGCGTTCACGAACAACACGGTTCATTCACGCGTATCGATTGCCGTTCGCGTCATGAAATTTGCGGGCCGTATCAATCCAAGGAATCGAAATTGAGTTTCAGATGCGAGGTTCACTTAAAGCCGAAAGCAATCAATGACGAATAAATTTAGTACGTATTGAAAGAACAGATCTAAAGGCCTGCGTCCACGATGCTAGAGCTTGGTCCAGAGCTTTCGTGGAATAACAAAGTCCTAGCATCGTGGACGCAGGTCTTAAGACAGTGAGTTCAGAATCGTCGATTAGAATTTCGGTGGTGGCACTGAATTCTAAATTCAGCAAGAGTAAAGAAGTAAACGCAGATTGCGTTGTAAACATATAAAATACAGAAAATAGCCGCTTCCCGCTCTCTGAGATCCCACCAACGAAATCAATCTAATCGCGACGCTGCGAATCGTTCGTTTAGATTTGCCACTCGTGGAATCGCGACGACGGATAAATCGACGGCACGAAACGTCGGTGTGTGAATAACGACGGTGATCCTTTTTTCTCCCTCTTTTTTTTTTACCGGGCAACACAATGAGGTATTTTACCGTGATCCGTGGGCAGAGGTCCGCGACAATGCGCTGCCACGTGTTCGCCGTGAAAGAGAGACAGTGCGATCAATAGAATGTCACTTATACGCGGAATGTTTTGCGTCACCGGATGGCAGACAGACTATTCCGCCTAGTATCTTCTGGCCTTAATGGAAAATTTCCCCGCGTAATAGAGAAGATAGCTCGAGTGAAGCTTTCTTCGTGGATATATTTGTAATTTCGTATTCGGAAACGTTAAAAATTCACGGGCAACGTAAATTAACTTTTCAGGACAATGAACGTACGGTACATCTCGTTAAGATAACTTGAATAAAAGGCAGGGAGGAAAATACAGTGGAATTACACGAGCCGGGGAAATTGTGGGTATTTCGAAATGAGCTTAATAAATGTAAGGCAAAAAAGTCTAATGTAAAACATAGTAGAATAAAAAATACACACAACATGCGCGGAATAAAAGATAATATTAATCTGCTGTACGGGTACAGTAAAGTTTGGAGAAGCAACAATCTTAACTCCCTTGTATTATAAGGAGAACCTCACTAGGAATCCATTGTCAGTTGATTTTTATCCTCTCTTTTGTCTCTCTGTCCCCTCCATAATAAAATGAAAACTCATGTAAATATTCAGGAGCGTCGCGCACCGAAAGAATTCCATTTCTAGCGCGGCACGAACAAAGGACAGGCCGCGAAGTGTTCGCGTCGCGCGGCTCTCCCCCATAGCTTTTCCCGGGGAATTAAATCGATAACTCCCTTTCTCGGCCGTACGAAACATTCGCGACCGTAGGGGGACCGCAGGCACAGATCCGGCGGCCATTTCTGTCGTTCTTTTCCCGAATTTTCCGCCCTTCCCTGACGGTCCGCTTCCTCTCTCGGAGCGTCGATGATGGGCTCCGTGTACGCCACTCTCGAGACTGAAAAATTTACGTGCCTCCACTTCGAGCGATGAAGACGCGCGGAAACGAACACCGAAAACGTACTGAAAGACATACGCGACTTCCTTCGCGAACGCTGTTAAATTTTTAGACTGTGAAAAACTTACGCGCATTCGTCCTTATTTAAAACACTCCCCTCGCGCGGGAGAAAAAACTGAGGCAGGTATTAAGTAAATTATACGAGCGCGAGATTTTACTCTTGCAATCAACATGGCGGTAAATAATAATGGAAGGTAAGTTCGCACGAGGGAACCATTAGCGCCCCCGCCTCGTGCACGCACACACGTGGGCAGAGTCACACGTGCGCAGCCGGCGTCGGATATCAATAATGTCGCTGGAAGATAGGGTTGCGACGCGTCAGAAGGGTCGCGAAATGAAGACATAAACAATGACATCTGAAATCATAGAGCGCATCGTGGACCCTCGTGACAGAGAGCACCTCTGTCTTCTTCACACGAAGAGAATTTTCTCTTAGAATATACCCTGAAAATCATGTAATTGTGGGACAACACGGCACGAAGAATTTTATGAGAGTTTTTTCAAGTTTCACCATACATTTCACTAATGAAATTTAAGAAAACTCTCATAAAATTACTCAAAACGTCATGTTGTCCCACGATTTTTAAGTAAATTTTAAAAGAAAATTCTCTCCGTCTACAATCAATTAATTTTAAAACAGCAATTGACCTTTCAATATGAATGTAAACACGTGAGCAAGTGTCTATGATCGTGCTAGCGATATCTTCGTTTGTGAATTTTCAAAAGAAATTCGTAACAATGACATATGTTTTTATCAGTTTCGCAAGTCAACTCGAGAATTAAAAATGCGTTAAATCCACGAAAAACAATTCACAGTACAATTCATACAAGTTAAAAACTTTTTTACTAAATCGCGAGCGCTCCCTCTGAATTTTAATATGCACACAATGGTATGTATTATATTCTTTATCGTTTTAGTTTGCCGTGGACCTGCGGGAATTCAGACGCGAGGGGGGATACAACAAAATTCTCGCGGTTGCGCAAAATACCGTCGGTCTATTTTCCGCCGCGCGGCCGAAGCGGACGCCGCGCATTTTTCGCGCAACGGAAACGTCGCTTTATGCACGATCATAAAATGTCAAAAGTGCCGGTGGGTCATAGCCACGCGTGCACGTATACATGCGACACGCCGGCCGGCCGGCCGGCTGAATTACCGGGAGCTTTTTGCGCGCGTAAAATGTGGTTAACAAACGGGGAAGAAGGGACGGCAGGAAACGCACCGATAACGTCACTCACATTGCGCGAGATAGCTGATACTAATATTAACATTTATGCGCGGCTGAGTGGATTCGAAAGTTGCATCCCGCCGATATAGACGCGAGACTCGCAATGTATCTTGAGGAATGTCTGCCGGTATAAAAAATTTTTATTTCTCGTGGAGTTTATTCGTCATCTTTTTGACATGTCAGCGTTTTTCGTATGTTACGCAAAACTTTTTCTACGTGTCTTAAGCCTGATCTACAGTGTGCTCTTCGCGTCTAGAAACAGCCTGTTTTACATAAGCAACTCAAAACGCTTAAAAACTTTGTCGACATCATACGATTGTTTGATGCAGAATATATTATACAATTAATCAACTTGCATAAATTATTTAAATGAATTTATCAGCTACAAAATAGAATGTCTCTAGACGCAAAGAGCACATTGTAGACCAGGCTTTACGCTCGCGAGCGCAAGCGTTACTCAGCGTGTATATAAAATTTGTCCGCATAAGTTTTGTGCGAACAAGAGTACAGAGGCGGGCCGATGATACGATCCCACTGTGAAATTTGGAATGAAAGTAGAATTACATTTTTTCAAAGTGCACTGTGGTATTACGGGGCACCGGAAACGGTACCGGCGGGACACCGTAAAAGGAGGACGGTGCTCCGAAGGCTCTTCCGATATTTTCGAGTTAAAATGGATCTGCCTTTGGTGGTTCGGAGCTTATGGCACGAGGGGTCTCTCGGTAATGGCAGGAATAACGCATCTGCAGACCTGCCACGAGAGACAGAGGAGGTGAAAGAGCGAAAGAGAAGAGAGAGAAAGCGATAAAGGCAACACAGTTACGGTTCTACACATCTACAACGGTCCCACTAAAAAGAAATAATGCATAGGGGCATGACCGCGTGAATAGTGCCGTACATTGGTAGATTGGAAGATTGTGCTTCAATCGCGTCGCTAACATACACACTTGGACCGTGCGAGTCCGACCCGTAGCCGAGAAAAATCCCGGAAGCAGTCACGAGCGAGCAAGGAGCCTGCGAAACGTCCCACATCAGAGAATGGAAATACGTTATTTCTTGCCAAAATATTTCGTGCAAAACTCTTTCTAGGTCACTTAAGTCTGATCTCAAATGTGTCCTTTGTGTCTAGAAACATTCTGGTTTATATAAGCAAATCAAAACGCCCCAGGAAATAGATTTGCCGAAATACCGTCTTATGAAATCGGAATTATAAGTGAACGAATTTAATTCGACATTATTCCACCCCTCGCCCCATTTCACAGTCGTGGATGAAAAAACAATTTCCTGGAGTTTTTGAAACATTCTTGGAAATGCAGAAAAATTCTTGGAATTTTAGATAGTGACACCTCTTTGCTGAGATCATGTTCTCCTGATACTTTTCTCAGTTTTCGGGATTCTAGACTTTCGCGTTTTAAAGTTTCCCAGTGGGCATTGGTGTACATGATTTGCGTCAGCGGTTTACCCCTCAATTTTTTCGCTGCTCAATTTCATCGTCTTCTGTTTCTGTCGCGACCATTTTCTCCAATACGTTCGCCCGTAATTATTAGGTATATTCTCCTTGCTCGAACCTTTATCTATAATAAGAAATTTTATAAACATTCATCCCAGATAAGTGACCCTTGAGGAATGCCGATATGATTAAAGGGAGGAAGACCAAGGAATCGATGAGCCGGCTTTCCACCCTGATTAAAAGCGCTATTTATCGGATTAGATCCGCTTGCACTGCTTGAAAGAAGATTATGCCAACGGCGATGGTAACGACCTTAAACTGAACGCCGGGGATTAACGCGAGCGTTAATTGATCGCGAAAAAATGCCGGACGAACGACGCCGGGTAAATTGATTCCGATTCCGGAGTCGGAGTCTCGTTCCTCGTCCTCGCGCACTTTTCGCCGCGTCAGAGATTCTCAACAGCAGACGCGGCCACTTAACGCGGCTAATCGCTGAACGTGGATATGCCAGCGATAAAATCCGTTTGCATATTGCATCTAAACATATTTTGTTAAAAGAAAATATCTCGCGATCCTTTAAAAAAAAATTTTTACAAAGTTCTTTCCTATATAAAAATATTTCTTTGCGTACGTTCTCTATACAAGTTTCGTATAAACTGCTGCGTCGTTATATTTCGATTATGTCGAATAACGTAAATTTGTGTGTAACTGCGAGCTACAGCATTTTTAATGAAGACAACAAGAGACAATATTAGTTAAAATAATACACGAGCCTCGCTCGTTGTATAAAAACAAATACTGGAAAGTTAAAGGGGCCATGAAAAATACACAATAAAAGGGCCAGTTTCACAAACAACGGTTAACTGCTAACCGAAGATTAATTGATTATTTGTCTCTTCTTAAATAATAAGATGGAAAAAGATAGGGAGTCGACTGAACCCTAGCTAACAGTGAACCGGTGTTTGCGAAACCGGCCCTTAGAGTTTATTGTTCAATGGAGGAAAAAAGCATTGCGGGCGTGTTTAACTGCGCTGAATCCTCTTCGGAACAGTATTTAAGGCCAAACGAATTGAATGGGAATTAAAAAGTAATTAGCATGATACGAAACGGAATACAAATGAAGAGAGTTAACATAATATAAATGTATTATGTTAATGAATATTATATATAATGAATATTAATTGGATTTCTCCACGTCAGATTGTTCCACGTCTCGTCATTCGCAAGCTAGCGATTGTACACAGAGATAAAGGTTTCTTTGGATTTAGTATTCCTATTTATTTGGTTGAAATTTGTTTCATTAAAACAATATATGCTTATACGAAACATTATATGTTTTGAATAAGAATTTTGTTGTTTTATTCAAACAACCTGTATTATTTGATAGAAAAAACACTATTATTTGAAGTAATATCTTTCAATGAAATAATTATATTATTTGGCCAGGCGCTTATAAAGTTTGGTGCTGCCACTAGATGGCCGCCGAACTCGTAAGTAAAATCGCGGCAGCTATGATATATAAGCGACCGCATCAGCAGACGCAGTTTAATCATTTAATGGTCTATTTTTTATTATGGCTGAACATAGTGTACTAATTCAGTGTTTATCTTTCTTCTTTTAATGAAGGGAAAATTCTAATGTAGAGAGAGAAAGACGCAGTTTAATCATTTAATGGTCTATTTTTTATTATGGCTGAACATACTAATTCAGTGTTTATCTTTCTTTTTTTAATGAAGGGAAAATTCTAATGTAGAGGGAGAAAGATGTATGCATATACATTTGTTTCACATATTTTCTATCAAACGATAATGCTGTTTGAATGAAACAATAATATCGTTTAGATTAAAGAGAATATTCCTTTCGTTTCAAACAAATATTTTATTTGAAGTAAAGCTATTTATTATTTGAAGGGTCAAATAATCATATTTGTTGAAACAACAATTGGTTTGTTTGGACTATTCCAAAAGATAAATTTCTTTGAATCTAATAATATTTATTAAATTCAAAGAAACCGTTCTCTCTGTGTAAGAGTGTATTTTCGACGTCTGGTATGCCGCTCTAGATACCCTGACACTGGAATCCGCAGAGTTTTTACCAACTCTCTCGGCGCGCTCCGCGCTGTAGCTTTACTAATGACAAAACACGATAATCAGGTTTCCCCGTATAGCTCCACGCGAAATGAAAGATAATATCGACGCGCTACTACTTTAGCTTTTGACACGGCAAATCGCCGGTGCGCGCACCAAAATTAACGTCCTGCGAAACGTCGTCACGGAGAATTCCAACGTCTCCCTTGTCGCACGACAAATTCCTTAAGCGTGCGTATCGATTGGCTGCAAGATGGAACGCTTCTGGAGGCTCGGCAACTTTTCTATTTAGCGAGCGATCGACACGCATTCGTAAAAAATTTGTCGCACGACAAATGAAACAATCTTCTGAAAACAGTCTTCGGCTTTGAACTTGGAAACTCCGCTACCGCGAGTCTCACGTTCGCGACGTTCGGGAGTAAGGCTGGTATTACATTTGTCGTACGACAAATTTTTCAAGCGTGTCAAGTGGCTGCGGAATAAAAAAGTCCTTGAGCCTGTAGACTGTAGCTAATCTGTTCTGCGGCTAATCAACGCGCTTGAAATGTTTGTCGTGCAACAAATGTAATAGCACCCTAATAAAAAATCTCTATATAGATACTGCAGAACTTTTCTGTGCAACAGCCAATCAACGCGCCCGACAAATGTAATACTAGCCTAATGCCGGTATTACATTTGTCGTACAACTTTTTCAAGCGCGTTGGCTGCAGAATCGAAAATTTCTAGATACTCAAGAACTTTTCTATTCAGCAGTCAATCTGACAAATTCGTCATATGACAAATGTAATATTAGCCTAAGGCCGGTATTACATTTGTCGTACGACAACTTGTTCAAGCGCGTTGGCTGCAGAATTTAAAATTTCTAGATACTCAAGAACTTTTCTATTCAGCAGCCAATCAACACGCCTGAAAAATTCGCCATATGACAAATGTAATATTAGCCTAAGGCCGGTATTACATTTGTCGTACGACAACTTGTTCAAGCGCGTTGGCTGCAGAATCGAAAATTTCTAGATACTCAAGAACTTTTCTATTCCGCGGTCAATCAGCACGCCTGAAAAATTTGTCGTACGACAAATGTAACCTTAGCCTAAGGATGCTGGAATTGTCTCGCGGTCGGTCGTCGCGCGTCGAGAAAGCGCGGAGGCGCGAAATCCGGGACCGGGCCCGGCTTGTCAAGCGCGGACCTTACTACTCGCGCGCACGATCAATGCATGAATGGAGCACACGCAGGGGCACTCATACGCGCGCAGCGCGTGGCGAGAGCGCACGCACGCACGCACGCACCGCCGGCGAGCGCGAGAGAGCCCGTCCGTCACGAGGATCCCCGCGAACGTTGTCCGTCGCTGTCACGCCGCGCGATCGGTCGCTCAAGCCGGGCCGCCGGAGCCGGGCCGGAGCCGGAGGGCCGGCCGAACCGCGCCGCGAGAATTTGACAGCTCGCGAAGCGGAGCGCCGGACGGGAAGCCGCAGGCCTCGCGCACAGAGCGCAACGAAAGCCGACTTACCGACGCCGTACTTGGTCGTCTTTGTCGTCGTCCACATCTCGAGGGCCGGACGGCGCGTCGACGCCGACGACGTGGACCCGTTTGGCCGGCCGATAGCCTACATACCAGGGCGGCGGCGCGCGCGCGAGCGCGTGTCGCGAACTCCGCTCCCGCGCGATCGACGAACGCGGCGAATTTTTTTTCTCTCCTCTGTATCACGAGTGGCACGAAAACAGAGACATCAGGGTGTGTTTGGCCGCACGAGTGTCACGCACTGCGCCGCGCGCGACCGACGACCGACGACGACAACGACACGACTAGCCGTAGCGCGAGCGGCGTTGCCGGTGCAGGCCGCGGGCCACGGCTGACTGACGGCAACGCCGCGCGTTTCGGCGCGCCGCCCTTTCCCTCCCGCCGCCAACCCCCGCACGAGGCCGGCCGCGCGCGCGCGCGACGACGCCGCCGCCGCCGCGTCACGTGGTACACGCGTCCTAATGCACGGAGCAAGGAAAATAGCTAGAGGCGCACCGGCGAGGGATATTATTAAAAGGCCGATTCTCTCTCTCTCTCTCTTCGTTTTGCGGAAGTGCGTGACCGCCCGCAATTTCGACGGTCAGAGCTCGTGAGCGAAGTTAATTCGACGATTTATTATTATCCGGATGTATATCGCGAATGGGAATAATTGACGCGGGCGTGACAAGGGTAAGATTATAACTTGGTGCCGCCGCGAGCGGAGCCTGGAAGTCCGGACGCACGCCCGAAGACAATTCTCAATTAAATTGTTTTTACGTCGCCCAATAGTCTCTACCGTGGGACGTCCCGAGGATGTTTTCAAGGCACTCGTGATGCCTTCGAACGATGCAACCACCGATTACGTCCTCGCGATACCCGGTTGATCACGCGACTCGCTAATTCCGAATACCCCCCCCCCCCGGAATCGCGCTTCTTCGAAACGTGGAAAATCCCCCGACTCTCACTCCCGTGCATTTTGTTGCTGAAAAAAAATTATTCGGTCGCGAAAGGATTAAAATGCGAAGAACACTTTGGATAGTAAAAAAAAAACTTCAAATTGACGTCGATTCGACGCCGATTGACGAGTCATTTCTCGCTGGGAAACTTGTTGTATTCTTCTGCAGCGAAAAATTACAACGCAACGCCGAAGATGTGACGAAGTATACAACACAGCGGCGTCGACCAGTTTTCAAAAACCGGCGAACGGTCGTGCGCCAAGGTCCACCAATCGGGTCCTCGCGGGATCCCCATAAAAATGTTATGGGAGTTTCCCCTCTTCCTAGCCTGTTACCCGCGGGATGTCAGGTGGTTAAAAAATCGTTCGAAGCGGTTACCAACGGTCGTGACTGCGTCTCTCTCTCTAGCTCGAGCCGAGGACTGTCTCTCGGGCGAGAACGTTTCAGGATCACGACGGGACAAGAATCGGGCGACGAGGATGCGACCGGACTCGCGCAGCGTCTCGTTCACGTTTCACCGGGAGGTGCTGAGCGCGCGGAACTCGCCGGAGACGGTGCGGAGCCCGCGGAACCTGCGCCAGCGCCTGCAGGATCGATTCGAGAAGGACCGGGGATCGGCCGGCAGCGGCGCGAAGGAGAAGCCGGCGAAGGGGAAGGAGTCGTCCGACCGGGCCTGGAACAACATCAGCCTCGGCAACGTGTCCGCGGACTCGAGGCGCGCGCTGAGGAACGGCGCCGAGAGGCTGTCCAGGACGATATCCTCGGTGCGCACCACTTTCGGCACGATATCCCAGGTGGGCCGAGTCGACGAGAAGTCGATTTTTACTTCTTGCTACTCGCCTCTTCACTGGCCTAGTTTACACCGTTCAGGTCGTTACCTGTACATACCTTATATTCGACCTATTCGTGACGGTGTAAACAATTGGTAATAAACGACTCCACCTGACTTGGGTCAGAGGATCAATTCTGTATCTTACAATATAGTGAAGATGCTAAAAGCGAACGGCTTTGTCTTTTTCTAAGAGGACAGAAAGAGACAAAGTTACTCTTAGTAGCGTAAGATACAGGAATAACCCCTAGGTCTCTTTTTCGCTTGCCTTTACCTGACGCTGGCCGCGCGATACAACGCACATAAACGCCTTGCCGCAAACGCGAAATGTACAAGTATAATGCGTTATGATAACAAAACAATTCCATAAATATGTATACCGAGGCGAAGCGAACGACGCTCGATAACGGAATCCTTTTCTCTGCATAGAAATTCAAGAGTTCCACGCGTAGGCGCCAGCGGCTGGAGGAGCAGCAATCCCCGTCCAACATGCAGACGCCGCAGACTCGTTCCCGCCAGCTCCTAGGCCGCACGCCGACCAAGCTCTACAGCCCCTTCGGCATCGAGTCGCCGAGACACGCCTGGAACAAGGAGAACGAAGTTAGCACGCCGGTACGTGCCTCGTCGCCGGAGTGCAACATGCGCTACATACACTGTAGACCGTTTCGCTTCGCGAAAGTGAAGGGATTCTCCATGTTGAGATAAGGGGTAACTCGAGACTACCACATGTTGATCTCTCTTTCTTCCTAGCGAACGCAGTCAGGTTTGCGTGCCTTGTGTGCAACGATTGTATCGATATATATATGTATATATAATTTATTTACGTTCGATCGCATAGAAGGGACCCGTCGCGAGCGACGCGAATCCGTCATCGAGCCGGAAATGATATCTTTTTCTCTTCTTTTTTTATATACAAGTAGCCTTCACAGGTATGCTAGCGTACCTTCCACGATATTTATAATATAATATATCATTCCATCGCTTTCCCTTCGCGTGCGTATATCGCAAACTCTTTCTACTTTTTTACACGTATTTATATAAACTTATACATCTACGCAATAATATACGCAATGTGTGTATGGCAGGGCCAATGCTTTGTACTCGACCGCGTGTCGAAAGCGCTTGAAGGGGCGACTGGAAATGTTGAACCTGTTCGCGTAAATTATCAAAAATAAGTATATCGAATTAAGATTTTCGGTTTCTTTTTTATTTTATATACGAATGACGCCCCAAGAAGTGATTTCTTGCGTAAATTTTTACACTGTTCGACAATGTAAATTTTAAGTTTGTCGCGTCATAAACCGAGGGTATTTCACAATCGCTCGTTCTCGGAAAGTTAGGTAGCTTCTCCGAGAAGACGTAAAACGCACAAACGATTTTTATTCTACTAATGTTGTATCTCGGCTATTATGCTTTTACTTTTATCCTTTCCAACTAGATTGTCGTGAATAGCCTCGCGTCTTATTTGATACGCGAAGGATCGAGCGCAAGAACCGAGTGATGATTTTAGAAAATTGTACGAGAAAAGACTCTGAAAAAATCACGGTGTTCCATTTTTTTTTCTCGCGTACGATGCATCTAAACGTGTCTCTGACAAGCGTATAACTATGAAGTATGTATAAAGCTAATATTACATTTATCGTACGACAAAACGTAACGCGATCCGACAGGAATACATCCGATATCATGTTAATTTAACGATTTATAATTCCGATGCGAAGATAAGGTTGGAGTTTTTAATCGTCGCGAATACGAGATAATTCGATTTGCATTATGTTATACGATATTTGTATGTATTATATTTTTAATACGATTGGACTCGCTAGAGCTGCTTTTTCGTTTTTAAACACAACGTCTCTGAATTTTTGTTTCCTTAGATTATTACCAGGGTCGATTAAAGCGCGTTGATAAACTTGCATACGACATTGAAGAGTTTCTAAGACATACATTCGTTTTCACTATCCCCAAAATCCGTGACATATATTACAGTCACTGATGTGCGTGATTGTTATGTCTCGTTTCCGCTGCTAAAAGTTGTAATAATGTTCCAACTCAGAAAATGCGATTATTACATAATGTAATAAGCCGTAACATGTGATTGTAACAAGATTTCCGTCACGAGTATGTTTACGCATGCCCGACTAGAAATCTCTTTTTACATCCACGTTTTATGGTTGTTTATCAGCTGTCAAGGGAAAAGTTAAGTTCGTTACCGGAGTATTTTGAAAATGAGCTGAAAGGATATCGACTGTTTTGTCATTCAGATATCTTGTTCTGTAGTTACAAAGCGCAATAATTCTCGATGTATCATTTCTCACTTCTGACGTCATGATCCAACATGGCTGCAGTGAGTAGGAGCCCAAGAACCATAATTCAAAATGCAACTACAAATCGTTCATCGACTTGACTATATGAACTTGTCGACGACAAAAACTCCATCCGTAAGAAAATTGCGTCATGTTCGAAAAGAAACCGGTTCGCAGGACAAAGGTGGAAACAAACGGTACACGAATTCACACTTCAAAAGTCACATACTGCCTTGGACCCGCACCTGAACCCCCTCTTGTGTGTTGTTTAGTAAGACTTGCATTATCACCTCGTAATTGCATACTTTGCGAAGCGGAGGATACAGTCAAGTGTCACGTTAAGGGAAATAAATAATTCAAAGCTGTCCTAAGAATACCGGAACCAGAGAGAAACCTGAGAGCGGCCACGCCGGTGTTTTACTTGATACCATTTTCTTCGACTGATTCCGGCGCCTGGGAACACATCGTACACTTCCAGGACCCGGCCGCGCTGACCTCTCGGATGACATGGGGAGGGCCCACCACTGCGACTCACTGGTGTGGGCCGCCACGGAATCCGGGGCTACACCGGACTCCGCCCTTCTCCACGGACCGTGATATACGGAGGTGGAGTGCCCCCGCACTCCCTTCCCGTGCCCCTGAAGGGTCCTACGAGGCCCTAATCGCGGTGTGCGAAGAAGGGCCTCAGGGTCTCGGTTGGCTAGCTTTTCTCGCGCGTTTTCCTGAAGAATGTCTTTGCAGGCGGTTCTGGGGGAGATTCGTCTATAGTGTGGAGGATGGTCCAAAAGAGAGGGGTTTTTAGCTGGTTTTCCCGCTTCACGGGTGAGTCCGGCATTCTACATCCAACCTACACCAATCATTCTACATCCCACCTACATCACTCTACACCATTCTACATCGTTCTGCATAGTTCTACATCATTCTAAATTTCAAATCCTACATCATTCCAACACATTCTAAATCCTAAATTCTACATTATTCTAAATTCTACATTCCTCAACATCATTCTTTCGTTCTTCAACATCAAAAATTGATTCCTCAACATCAAAACTGATTCCGAGACTTCAAAATCTGACTCTTCAACTTCGAAATCTGATTCTCCAACATAAAAAATTGATTCTTCAACATCAAAAATTGATTCTTCAACGCCAAACATTGATTCCTCAACATCAAAATTGGTTCCTCAACACCGAAATTGGACTCCTAGCCATCAAAAATTGATCCCCCAACATCAAAAATTGATTCTTCAACCTCAAAATTTGACTCTTCAACTTCAAATTTTTACTCTTCTACATCAAAATTTTTGATGTTGAAGAATCAATTTTGGATGTTGAAGAATCAAATTTTTGGTGTTGAAGAGCCAAATTTGAAGTTTAAGAATCAATTTTCGTGTTGGAGGATCAATTTTTGGTGTTGAGGAATCAAATATTGATGTTGAGAGATCAATTTTGATGTTGAAAACTCAAATTTTGAAGTTGAAGAATCAAATTTCGACGTTGAAGAATCAATTTCGATGTTGGGGAATCGAATTTCGATGTTGAAGAAGCAGATTTGATGTTTAGAACTCAAATTTTGAAGTTGAAGAATCCATTTCGACAATGAAGAATCAATGTTCTATGTTGAAGAATCGATTTTTTATGTTGAAGAGTCAATTTTTGTGTTGGGGAGTCAAATTTTAATGTTGAAGAATCAAATCTTGATGTTGAGGAGTCAAATCTTGAAGTTGAAGAACCGAATTTTGATGTTGAAGGATCAATTTTTGAAGTCGAAGCAATTTTGATGTTGAGGAATCGATTTTAATGTTGGAGAACCGATTTTGAAGTTGAAGAACCGATTTTTTGAAGTCGGGGAATAAATTTTGATATTGAAGAATTAATTTTGATGTTGGAGGGTCAAATTTTGATGTTGAAGAGTCAAATTTTGATGTTGAAGAATTAATTTTGGTGTTAAAGAATCAAATTTTGTGTTGAAGAATCAAATTTTGACGTTGGGAAATCAATTCTGATGTTGAAGAATCAAATTTTGATGTCGAGAAATCAATTTTGGTGTCGGAGAGTATAATTTTGATGTTGAAGAAGCGATTTTGATGTTGAGGAGTAAAATTTTGATGTTGAAGAATCGATTTTGGTGTTCAAGAATCAATTTTTGATGTTGAAGAATCAATTTTTGATGTTGGAGAATCAATTTTTGATGTTGTCTTGTCTTGTCTTTCACGAGTGAAACGGAGCCGCGCCCGGTTTCTCCGTGCATCCAATCCCTCGCGCGTATTCGTACTGTATGAGTGTATATCCCGACGCAGCGGTTCTCAAGGATCTCGTCGCGCCGACGATACAGGAGATAAGGAGATAACGGCCTCGACGCAGCCCTGCTCTCAAGCTCCGCTACATATCCAGCCCTGATTTATATTTATTGGCACAATAATAACGAATTTTATGAAAAAAAGCGACACTGTCTCATGCTCTTTACCCTCGTCGAATCTGTCCCGCGGAACCCCCCTCCCTCGAGGTATACGTTCCTTGATTCTAACCTTCGCGACATCATGGCGTCCGATTGCAGTGCATAATTTCGCAGCGCGAGCGACGGCGGTTACTCGTCGGGTTCAAGTCGCGGCGGCTCTCGTCGTGCTCTGGCGTCTCGCGTCTCGGCGCGATCAACGAGGGGACGCGGGAAAGTGCGCGTTTTCCCGATCGGCCGCGTGTCTGACGATCTCGCGAAAAGACCCGCGAGGGATAACCTGATTAACCCGCGCGATCGATCCGCCGCCAACTTCGCGCCTCCGGTCGCGCGTTCTTTCCCTCCTTTTTACGTTCCGACAGCGCCGCCGGTTGGCGTATCGACGTCCGCGACGATCTCGGCGGGCTCTCGGCTGAAACGGGGACCGACTCCCGGCAGTCCCGGCATCGTTTCGTCGTCGCGGGACGCGATCGGGCTGGTGAACGCCCTCCCTTCCTTCCTCCCACCCTCCCTTCCCCCCGCGCATGTGTGTGTATGTGCGCGCGCGATCCGAACGTCGGTTCTTCGTGTGCGCTCCCGCAGCCGTGGAATGCGCCGCAGTGGCGGTCAAGAGGCAACGTCGTGAGGACCGGGAATCGTTCGCGCTGCGGCTGGCCAGAGTCGATACTATGCGTCTCCACGGATCGAGGCACATAAGTGCTTCGGGAATTGGCGCGCGTACCAGCACGTGAAGTTCCAAGGGCGGGTAAGTCCGTGAGAACCCGCGCGAGTTCGCTCTTTCCCTCTTCCCGCGCTCGTCCCCTCCCCTTCCCTCCTCTCCCGCCGGTTGGCAGATCCCGCGCGTTCAGCCCATCAACGCGGCGAAACCAGGTCGCGGGACGGCCGATATTTTTGCGGGGCCCCCTCGCCGCGCCGTCGGCGGCGGCCGCGTCGAGAGTGAATCTTATCGATCGAGGCGCGAGCGCCCGGAGGATCGCTCGGGTCTCGCTCTTCGGCGCGTCGTCTCCGGGCGGCTCGGTTCTTGGATTCGTTCGAAGGAGAACGACCAAGTTAACGCGCGGCTTTTCCGCAAGAGCAAGTGGTCAGTTCTGTGTCTCTCGCCGTAGCGAGGGACGCCAAGGGCCAATTTCGCGCACGTCTGTTAACTGTTTCACCAGAGTTCAGTCAACTCCCTATCTTTTTCCATCTTGTTCTCTGAGAAGAGAACAGAGAATCGATCCAACCTTCGGTTAACTGCTAACCGGAGTACCGTTAACTCTCTGTCTTTTTATCCAAGAAGAGACTGGGGTAATCAATTAACCTTTCGGTTAGCAGTTAACCGACGTTTGTGAAACTGATCCTGAGTGAGTTTCTAAAGTCCTTTCAAAAAGGAGACGAGGCCGCTCGGTTTCGGCGTTTTCGCTATGGTGCAAGATATAGAATTGACCCCCGGAGCTCTCGTATACGTTTCGCCTTTGAACGAATACGAGAATGGAGCCCCTGCCGCGCCGTGGAAAGAGGAGTCAGGCAACCCGATTTCACGCCGCGTCACACGGCGACGGCTTACCCCGGGGTTCGCGCAACGCGGAGCGTCGCGGATAATTAGTCGCGAGCGTGTCGTGTCTCGCGGGGAGAGAGACATTTTTTAAATATAATTATAATATGAATGCCATCGTATAGCAACTTTTTAATAACGTGAACAATTAAGTAACGAGTAGTAATTCTAATTTACACATAAGGTTTTTTAATAATATAGATATGCACGGTCTGCCCAAAAAGTATCGGGACTGAGTTTTTCTAGCCGACAGAAAGGGGTGGAGGGTGATCTCCATGAGCAGGGACGTTGGTTGGGGATGTCAGGTGTGCGACGCGACCCGGCTCAGTCGTCTCTGGGTCTTCGCAGAGTGTGGATCACGCCCGGAGTGAGCAGCTGTTTCCTGGTGTCGTCGGGAATCAAGATGCAGCGCACGATTGGACAGCGGTATGCGATCGAGTTTCGGGGTGAAACGAAACACCAAGACGTCGATCAGAGTCCAAAAGACAAGCGACTCACCAGATTTTTTTTTCAGTTCCGTGCGCTGCATCTTGATCCCTGGACCACGAAACAACTGCTCACCCCGGGCGTGATCCACGCTCTGCGAAGATTCGCACTGGCCACCGGGCCGGCCCGCGTCGTATACCTGGCATCCCCCACCAACGTCCCTGCCCATGAAGACCCACCCTACCCTTGCCACTGATTTTTTCTAGCCCAGTCCCGATACTTTCTGGACAGACCGTGTAGATGCCACTCGACGCTTTACTATTATGCGACCGAGATGATAAAAATTCCGCTCCCAGAGTCGCGTGGCGATCAACCTGTTAATAATAACACCTCGAGAGGAGTGGACTTGCACGTCTATTTTTAGGTCGCATTACATAAATCGCGACGTCGAACGCGAGATTTACGGGCGAGCGATCGCGCGCGACGCGTGAGACCTCGCACGTGTCCCCCGCGGGGCCGCCCGTTCGCCACGGCTCACCTCGTGCTCGTTCCCGGAGAATCTCGGGCAGAGAAATCTCCCCCGAACTCCGAGGCGATTCCCGAATTGCGAGATGATTCTTTCTCTGTCCCGCTTCCGAGACTCGATTCTTGAATCATTCGCAATTGCTAAAGAAGATATCCGAGGGGGAAATCGCGGAGGGCATTGTGGCGTACAGATTTGCGGCATTACTGGGCAAAGATAAAATAAGATAATAAGATAAAGTAATGCCCAGTGGACATTGGTGTACATACAAGATTTTGGTCAGCGGTTTCCCCCTCGAAAATATCTTACGCAGGTAGATTTCTAATAGCGAATTCGATTGCTCGCGCTGGTGCGCACCAAGGCCAGTTTATAGTCAATTTTTATACTTAACTTTGGTACACGCTCAAAGAGTATTCGGCCAAACAATGATCCGCGTGGATGCAGATCATTTTACTGGCTGTGAAATATTTCAAGAAATATTCAAGACATTTCTCAAATGTAAGAATTGACTGTAAACAAGCCTAAGTGTGCAGGCAACCGAGTTCGCTGCAAGTGTCGCGACGAAAAGTTGCTCGCTATTTTGCGTATCTGTTAGAAGCTCGTCTGCGGCCTGCAAAATTTGTAGCAGCGACATTCTAGCGATACCTTCTGGAGAGCTTAGGCTTCATGGCTAAATATTAATCTTCACATTGGATAAAAGTAAATTTCGGTACCGTAGCTACGCGGAGAGGACTTTCTTTTAAAATTCACCCTGAAAGCCGCGTAATCGTGGGACAACGTGGCATTTTGAAGAACTTCATGAGAGTTTGTTCGAGTTTGACCATACATTTTACTAGCAAGAATCTTCTTAGTTCTTTGAAATGTTACCAAGCATTTTACTAGTGGAGCGTACGGTGACATTTCAAAAACCTCTCGTAAAATTCTTCGAGATGCCGCGTGGTCCCAAGATCGCACGATTTCCAGGGGCAAAATTTCTAAGGAAAATTCCGTACACGGAACCCCGTTTCAATCGTCGCCGAGAAATTCTTTCGAGCTCGCTTGTTACGCCGATCCACAAGGAACGTTAAACAATGGCTCTTCGGCGCTCGCAACGGTCACCTGCGTGTCATTCGCGTGACCAATCGCTGCGCGCGCGGTTCCCGAGGTTTTTATTCTTTTTATTCATCGCCTCTCGCGCGCGCCGATGATCGCGAACTCCTCGTTCCCAAGCTGGGAAATACGAGAGCCGTCCGCGCTCGCGGTGAGCGGAATCCAATTTCCGTTCCGCGGCCAGTCCCGCCGTCGGCGACAGTCTGCGACGGAGGCGATATACCGTCGCTCGTGGCAACCGCGAGCGTGCCGTGACTCTCGCCGCTCGTCATTTGCATTTTCCGATTATCACGCGGCGTTTTCCGCGGCGATCCCGCACCGGCCCGGGCCCCGCGGCCAGTTGCTGCCCTCGGACGAAGGCGAGCGCGACGAGCGGGACTGACGGAAGATGGATTCGGCGTGCGGATCTCCTCCGCGAAGGTAATTCGATACAACGAAGGGGGAAAAAAACACCGGCGTACTCGCACGCCTCTCGGCGCCGCGGCGAGTCAAGTGACGCACGCTCGTGTGCCGTGCGCATCGGTGTTTGGATTCGTGGCGTCGTGACGAGCTGGGCTGTGCCCCTGACAGCTCGGCGCTCGCGAACGAACGTGGAAATATCGCGCGATATGTTAAATTAATTAACGAGGACGCGGTCGGTCGGCACTCTCTGAGGGACTTCCCTTCGCGCCGCGTACACCAGGACCGGTACTCGTAGTTGCATCCTGTACTCGAGACCGTCTTAAAGTCCTGTCCCGAGATGCTGTATGAAACATTCCGCTGTCGATATTCAGCGACGCGAAAATAACTTTCACTTGGGAGGCACTAACCGAGATGTTAAGTTGCCTAGCTACAAAAAAAATACGGTAAAAATGTTTCCCAGAGTGGAGTTGCGAACGATTCAAATAAATCGATTACTAATTGCGGGCCCCAAAATGGATTGCTAACTGTTTTTTTCCCCCCCGGAGCATTGGCTACGGATCTAAAGATGATCTTAAGGTCCACGGTAGTCAGAAGTCAAAACGGTATGTCGGTCCCTCTTCTCTCACCCGGGAAGAAAAAGGGTTGACATGTAGCTCCGACTTCTGACCAACGACTATTACTAGATTAAGAGATCTTAAGATCGTAAACATAAGATTTGACTATGGATACCGGGCCTAGAAATTTCCTGAAACGGTTCGCGAGCAAGTTCTGGCTTGCCAAAAAATTTCGACAATACACGTGTAAACGGCACACGCACGTTGCGTTGGGCTTTTGTGACACAAAAGAACTCGAAATGAAGACATTTCACTTTTATGCAGTTTTCAAACATGAAGCTATTAATTACTGTACACCGAGAACCATGTCTATGGATTTCAACGTGGCTCTCTTGAAAAAAAAGGGCTTCTGTCTAGTTGTGAAGACATTTCAATTTTACATAACTTTCTAAAATAAAACGCTAAAATAACAGAACTAATAATCACTGTATCCCGGGGGTTGTGTCTATGAATTTGTGGTTCTATTGAAGAAAAAAAAAACAAGGTTCTTTAGTGTACGCGTACGCGTGCCGTGGGTGGCAAGATCGCAGTCAGCCGTTCGAGACGCGAGCGCGCAACCGATCTCTCGCGGGCCGAAACAGAACACGCGAGGCGGATGAGAGAAACGACAGTCGCGAGACGGCGGATGCCGTCCTTGGCGTCCTGCGAGAGCTCACGTTCGCAACGAGGAGACTCGCGCCATCATCCCCCGGCTCGCCGACGGCTCGTCGGGCGACGGCGCATTCGAGCCTGCGATGTACGTCGTTCCCTTCTGGAAGACCGCTTTCAGGTATACGTTAGTTTTCGATAGACGCTCTTTTCTTTCCCCACGAGGCGAGGGAGGTTCAGTGACCTCCGAATTGTCTCGCATGCCTTAGGCTTAGATTTTTCAGTTCAACGATCGGAACACAAAGCGATGTAACGTTCACAGCGAGACACGAGGGCAAACTGCGGAGGGCACTGGGGTGTACAGATTTGTGGTATTGCTGGGCATTATTGGAGCATTAGTTTGTGTAATAGCCCTGTCAGTGCATTATAAAAATGAAACAAGATAAAGTAATGCCCACTGGGCATCGATATACACAATTTTGGTTCACCGCTCGGCAAGACGTAAGTCACAGGCTACGTTTCCACCGAGGATCAAAGTCGGGAATAGAATCGGGTCAGAATCGGGTTGGGCTGAGCGCTTCGGTGGAGACGCCAAATTCAAAAACTTGAACCCTATAAAATTTTAAGGTAAAACAGAATAGAGGTAAATCAAAAAGCTACCTATTACTATTTAACCTGTTGGTGACACTACAAGGGGCCCGGAGTATTCTCGGATCTATGAAACCCTCCGCGGTCGGTCACGTTCGGGCGATTAGCGCTTTATCGCGATCTACGTCGCCCCGCGATCGACGTGCCTTCTGTCCTTCGCGACCTTTAAATATCGGTACGTCACGCGGGGCCGATCGATCCAACGCTCGAGAACTCGTGCCTATGTACACTAGGAGTCACTGATGCCTTTCCGCATGAATTTGTACACCTTCAAGTACATTTTGTGTATACGTACGTGGAAAATATACATGTGCCTAATTCATACGGGAAGGCATCAGCGATTCCTAGCGTACACGTGTCCACGGTGTCCCGCGAAAAACATAGTATAATATGAAAAGGCCAGGGTGATTTACCCGAGCATGATCCAGCAATTTGGTCTCCGACATTGTTCGGGTAGATCCATGAGCGAAGTTGGATCCTGCTCCGGTAGCGGAATATGGCAAAGTACCACGTATACGGGACCGGAAAAATCAACGAGGCCGAGAGTGAGTAGACCTGCTTAGTTACACTATGCGAAAAGCGTATCTCGCGACTGTAAAGCAAAATAGATATGTCTAGGCGCTCACCGTTGCTCGTAAATGCAACGTCCCCCTTTCCAGGTGCAACGCGAGCGTTTTAAAGACCGACCCAATTTCGCGAGATTATCCGGGACGTGGCAATAAATTGGCAGACGATTCGAAAATCGGGGGAAACGCGCCAGAGAGCCTCTCGACGCCCGTTTGCGTTTCACCATCGAGATGCACTAGGACAGGGCAGGGGCTATTTGAGTCGGTTGCGGGGAAAAAGTCGGACGAGGAATTTTCGAGACTGGCCTCCGTGGCCTCTTGAAAACGTTTCGTCCGCAAGTAGTAGCCACCAATTTCAGTCAACAAGTGTGACGAATCCGGTATCAGAGCGCGGGAAGCGCGATACGTCCGCCTTTGAGCGATAAAAACGCCCGCGATTCCGCTCCGACATCAGCGCCCATCGACGTTTTATCGGTCGGCGTAGACACTCTGTAATCAGAGGGTGTAATCAGAGACCGGCCGTCTCACTCTTCTACGATCGTGGAAGGGGCATCGGGGGGAGTCACAAGTAGGATCGACCCTGGGTGTGACCGGGCGTAAGGATCAGAAACACCCTAGCACGCGTTGACCCAGAGAGGCCTAGCGACTGGCCATAAGTCCCAGTCTACAATAGATGATTTAAGCCCTAAGCTTTAAGAAATTGGCCAATCACGGTCAAGTATGAGTAGAATGCGCGACTGTGATTAGTCAATTTCTTAAGGCTTAGGGCTTAAATCTCTATTGTAGACTGGGACTAATGCGTGGTCTACAATACGTGGAGTAAGGCGTGGAGTAAGGAGTAAGGGGGAGCCCTAACTTCTAGCTTTTGGTGTAAGGAAGCTGAAATACGGGCATGATTTTTAAAATTATTGTAACACTGATTGATGGCATTTTGATTCACCGAGAGTAAGCCTAAGAGCTGAAGCCTACTCCAGCTTACTCCATGTATTGTAGACCAGCCTTAAGAGTCCGTCAAACTCCTGCGAGTGAGAGGGATACATAGGCTCTTCTACGACCGTAGATCCTTACATTCGTTCTACACCCAGGGATGATCCTACTTGTGACTCACCCGCGATGCTCCTTCTGAAGATAATTCGCCTACTTGCGGCCCTTTGTACTACTCCCTCAGATAAGCCGCAGGGAGGATTATTTTACGTCTTTTTTTTTAAATATGAACCGATGAAGAAAATTAATTGTTTTTAATGTGTAAAATCTGTGCCAATGGTAAAATGTGCAACGATAACCTGTACAAAACCTGAAACACTGATAATGATAAAAAGCCTCGGGTTCTTATTATCAAGCCCGTACTTGTGGAGCAACAATATGAATATGGTATGCAAAATAATGTGTTATGTGATACACAACAATGCGGTGCCTCACTTCGCTTTGCTGTAATATGTAACTCGCGCGCGCGCGCGCGCGCGGTTCTAGCTGCGCTTCTACTTGGCGCGAGACACTGCCGTGTCTCGTGATCTTAATTCCCTTGCGTTTATTAGCTCAGTGTCGCAAAGAGGTGCACGACGTAACGCATGAACTTGCCATCAATTTCCAACTGTTATTAAAATGTAGCAAAAAAGAAAGCAACTTACGAGTCCAGAATCCAACGTCCACCTCTGCATAATCGCGCTCCGATCTCGTTTCAACTCGCCTCTCTTCTCCCAGCGAGTCGGAGGGAGATGCGAGGTGAATGAAGCGCCGAGATTGAAATCCGTATCGGGGTGGCGGCGAGACGCGAAGCTAACTCGCGGTGCTCGGGGGGGGGGGGGGTTGCACGCGTCGGTGTGCGGGAATAAGGTAGGGCAGGCGAGTGACCGAATTCGCTATTTAGGCGGGACCTGCGTCGCCGCGCACGCCGCGTTCCGTCACGCGGCGCATCGCAGCGGCTACGGGGTTTGTAGTAGTGGGGCAGCGCGCCGCGAGAGGGTGTCGCGCCGACGGAGAGAGAGAGAGAGAGACAGACGCACCAGGACAGGACAGGTCAGGTCAGGGACTCAGGGACTCGAGCTCAGTCTTCGCGTTCGCGTGCCGGTGTGTCGGTCGTGCTGCATCCGCCAGTCCTCGCGCTCTCCCGGTGCCGCTCCCGCGCGTGCGCGCTGCACTCCTTTCTCTCTCTCCCCCCCTCCTCTCTCTCCACCCCTCCTCTCCGCCGGAGAAAATCGCGCGGTCGAGTTCCGGGCGCCGCTGGAGCCCGGCGGAACGGAGCGGAGCAGAGCGTGGCGGGGCGGGGCGGGGCGGAGCGCAGCGAGCGGCGTCGCGGCGGATTACGCGCCGTGCACGATGCAACGTTAAAATTAATAAAAAAACCACGTTGTTCTCCACCGGGGAGACCACCGCCGTCCCATGTCCGTTCCACGGCACACGCTCGGGCCGGCGGAGTGAAGTGAGGTACCAGATTATTGTGTAGCGCATAATCGCGGGCTGCAGTGCGCGGCGGCTAGTAACACGACGGATGCGATGCCGACGGTACGCGCGCTTACATAATTGCCCCGCCGTCGGTGCGCATTAGCGGCGCGGAACGCGGCGCGAAAGGAAGAGAGAGAGAGAGAGAACGAGCGAGCGAGCGAGTGCGCGTCCCCACGGCAACGGCGGTGGTTGTTCGCACGCCCGCGCCAACCGTCGATTTTACTCCGCTCGTGACCACACTCGGGTACGTATGCGACCGACGTAAGAATCGGACACGACACACACCAGCGCACACACGTACGCGAAACCAGCCCTCCCTCCCTCCCTCCACCGTCGCTCCCGCTGCATCCCGTTTCCTCTGTTAAGCGCGTGCGTCTCTCTCTCTCTCTCTCGCTTCCTCCTCCCACCTCGGCACGCCTGTGTCATATCTGCCTCTCTCTCTCTTCTCTTCTCTCTTCTCTCTCTCTCTCCTCTCTCTCTCTCTTTCTCTTTCTCTCTCGTACCTTCCGCTCCGTTCCCCTCTTGCTCCCTCCACGCTCTGACAGCTTGGTCGATTCACGAATCCGCCGGGGCCCAGACAGCTCGCGCTCTTTCCCGGGCCTCTTCAAAATAAGGCCAAAAGGTTACGCTCCTCGAGGACTTGGAAACTCCCCCTCTCCCTCGCACCTTGCCCTCCACGCCCTTCGTCCTCCCGCCTGCCTTTTCCCCATTTCTGTTTTTATTCTTCGCCCCGCTCGCTTTTGTTGACGCGAGAAGGAGGACGTCGCGGGCGGCCGGCGCTCGTCGCCCGCTGGAGCGACGACGATGACGACGATTACGATTGGAGAACGCGCCTCGTAAACACGCAGGCGGTACGCGGAAATTTCTTTTCTCCGCGTCCGCCCGCCCGCGCGCGTCTCTCGGCGCGTGAATGAAACGAACGCGCGTGACTCCCGTCTCTCGTCGACGCGCGAGTTCCCGCCCGGGGGAGAGAGCGGGAGCGGGAGAGGGAACCGCTCAATGAAATTCGATATCGCGGTGTCGTTGCACGGTATTCGGCCTCTTTCTCTCTCGCTGGCGCGCGATCGCGTAATCCGCGACCTCCGACACGCTCCGGACATTAGATTCCCCCCCCGCGTATCGAATAAGCAGCGTTCCCTCTCGGTATCGACACTTCCGCAGCGTTTGATTTCGCCGCCCGCGCGTTCCCAAAAAAAAAAGAAAAATTTTGCCCGGCGTTCGTTAGTTACGCTCACCCCCTCCCTCTTGCCGCATACACACACACTTTGCATCTTTGATTTTCGCCCGCCGTCTGATTCTGTTTTTTGTCCTTACTTGCCTTTGTTTGTTTCTCACACACAGGTCTGGCATCAATACATATGTTGCACCTTTATTTTCTATTTATTTTGAGACTGCTTAGAGAGAAAGCGAGAGCGAGAGAGGGAGTGAGAAAGATGAGAGCATTTGGGGGCCCAGGCTGGCCCACGTGCGTGGCGGCGGCGTTGTCCCACGCGGAAGACGTAGTAATGAATTTGTTTATATTTTTTGTATTTGCCGATGATCCTCCCGTCGATGGTCGTTTCTCGGGGCGGCACCAGTTGGAGTACGCAACAGGAGCCGCAGCGGCAGCTGCTGGCGGCGGACTCGGTCGCGCAGCAGCAACGTCAACAGCAACAGCAGAATCAGATCGTCGCGTCGTATCAGGCAGCGCCGTCGTCGTCGTCGGGAGGTGATCTGCAGCAGCAGTGCCGCAAAATGACTGACCAGCGTGACCAGCAGCAGCAGCAGCAGCAGCAGCAGCAGCCGCCGCCGTCATCTCAGTTCCAGCAGCCGCCGTCGCAGCCGCAGCAGATCAAGGGCAACGAGGAGCCGCGAACGAATCTGATTATCAATTACCTACCGCAAAACATGAACGAGAAGGAGCTCTACAGCCTGTTCGTCACGATCGGCCCGGTCGAATCTTGTCGGGTCATGAAGGACTACAAGGCAAGCCACGTGACTGCTACACGCGATCTCGTACGGATGGCGCGTCCCTGTGAGATTTTAATCTTGCGTTTCGCCGTTTTTCAGACTGGCTACAGCTACGGCTTCGGTTTTGTCAACTACGCGAAAGCCGAGGACGCGGCGACGGCGATAAGCACGCTGAATGGGCTTCAGGTGCAAAATAAACGTCTCAAGGTCTCGTTCGCTCGGCCTTCTGGTGAAGAAATTAAGGAGACGAATCTTTACGTTACGAATTTACCACGGTAATTGCTTCTCCTTTCGATCTTCGTCTCCCGCACGTACCGCGCAATTCATTTAGTCGCGTCTCTTCAAATTTACGTTTTCGTTTTGTTCCACCGTTACTTCTCGTGTCTCTTGTTTCGCAGTAGAAAGTATTTTTCCAATTCGTCACATTTGAGACGACAAGGCCGGGAATTAAAATCTCTTGCCTGTCCGGCAATTTCTCTATCGCTAAGCTCTCTCCGGCGTCCCGACTGATCCCGATAAGTACGGAAAGTATTGTGTATACTGAAAGACACCATTTATATTTGCAGAAATATAACGGAGAGCCAGATAGACGAACTTTTCAGTAAATACGGCAACATTGTGCAGAAGAACATACTGAGGGATAAACTGACCGGTTTGCCGAGAGGAGTAGCGTTTGTTAGGTAAGCGGGCGATTAGTTTCCACGATTAATCTCGTGATTCTTGCATCTTTCCTGTATCGACGAGCAGCTTGTGAGTACCGTGCGCGCACGGGACGTAATGGCACGGTAGCCTCGGCGGTTTTAACGAATATATCAATTTATGACACTTGCACATTTTCGCCGAGCGTATAAATAACGCGCCGGTATTGCAGATTGGAACAAATTCAAAACAGCTGCTCGCGGTAATCATACTATATCGTTGCACAACGACGGTTATGCGTGTGTCCACGCGTGCGTTATTTGTTTTGCAAAAGTTTCCTGCCAAAGTATTTTTGTACAGCTCCTGGTTTCAATTGCACAATTCTGATACGCTCCCTTTAGTCTGGCCCAGATAACCGCGAAACATGAATAAACCTAGGGATAGCGGGATTGTGTGGGAAATGGGTTGTTGGAAATAGCTGTTGCAATCTATGCCAACAGCTGAGAATCTCGCTAAACTGTGCCCCCCCGTCGGCTGTCCCGTGGCAGATTTTGCCGAGCCTAGAAAAAGGCGAGCGAAAATAGATGACAGAAGTTAACGCTCCTGCAGAATATTTTTAGAATCCCTGCGAGTTCCTTACATCAACGCGTATCGTCACGCACTTGGAGTTTGTTGCCTTTTATAAGCACGTCCACGCAATTTTGTAAACGCGACCGCACTGAAACGTTCCTTATCCTCGTTTTGCCCCGATATAGATTCGATAAGAGGGAAGAAGCTCAGGAGGCTATCGCGCAACTTAACGGTACAATACCGGAGGGTGGATCAGAGCCGCTTAGCGTAAAAATCGCGGAGGAACACGGAAAACAAAAGGCGGCGTATTACGCAGGCTGGCAGGCGGGATACAACCAAAGCCGTGGTAAGTAATTTTATACCTTGCGAGATCGCTGCATTAATAGACCTTATCTCGCAGCTTGGCAGTGGTAATCGATATATCAAGTGAGTCTCTAATGCGCGCATTGTTCCTGTTGGAATTCAGCGCTTTCTCAAACAAGTGGAAACACAAAGTCAGTCAGATCGCCACTGCCTAGCGGAGCTTGCATTTTTGGCTTCTATGCTAAACAAATACATGCGTATGTGTTAACTGAAATACACGGTTAAAATATACGCATATGTATATATTAGTTTATATCATTTGCATCTTTATTACGATTGTTGTAATATGCCTAGTCTATATAGGAGAGCACTCGATGTTACAATTGTTTCGTTTGATCGAAAGATTATTATATATATATATATATATTTCATTCTATTTGCCTGATATGTCGAATACGATTCCTGATGGAGCGTGTATTCGATTCTTCTCGTATCTCGATACATTTCTCAGATTTGCTAGTGTAGATTATTTTTATATGGCGCAATGCTTCTTACCGCGACACACACACACATACACGTATTACTATATGTCGTATCGCCGCGTTTCAAGATGTCTTGCGTCACACATTCAGCATTTTTCCTCCGTCTCGGATGAAACTCTTTTAATTTTGCCGCGTGCGTATCAGCATTGACAGTTTGACAGGGTGTCCAGTGGTCAGGGAAACCGGGAATTGTCAAGGAATTTTAGAAAACTGGAAATGTGAGGGAAAATTCAGGAGATTTTATTTATCTGGAATAATTTGAAGTTTTTAGAAGATAAACCTTTCTTTGGCTCTCAGTACACCAATTTTCTGTTTCGCTAAACTTCAATTTGCTTATAAGCGTGGTCGGTAATTGATATTTTCGTTGTCGTGTTTTATTTCAATGTGTTCAACTGAGCCAAAACTATTAAAAAAAAGGATGAATTGCTAAACAGTATCTAAGTAAGCTACTATCTAGTTGCAAACAAAATGCAGCTAAGCGAAACGAAAGCATTGTATATGATTACGTACGATATCACAAATGGTTCGAATGGTTTGTAATGATACGTTCGTTCCTATTACACGATGTATTGCACATAGATGGTATAATTGCTTTAATTTCAACTTTCACCTCTTTAAATTCCGGACTTTCGTTTCCCGAGAAAAATATTTCAAGGACTGCGTCATTTAACATCCACTTGATTTACCATGTACGCAAATTACGCATCTTGAAAAAAAAAGTTACGCCAAACGGTCAGGGAAAAATTAACTCCGGCTCCTGGAGAAACCTGATAAAGTCGGGGAATTTTTTTCATTGAGTTTACTGGACACCCTGTCCGACTGCATAGGTCGCTATTCATAGATATATGTTAAATATTATGTATATATTTTTTTCTCTTGTCATACTGATTGTCTAACGTTGAAATATTTTGTCAGATAAAATGGCTGCATCTAAATCAGGCCACCACGACTTGTTGACGCACTAGGCACCTTTTGTGTGCACAGAGAACCGAAAAGGTGTTTATATTCTGACACGTTACACACGACCACACATTAAGACGCGGTGAGAAAGATCTCTCGCCGCGCCGGACGACTGGAGACACGGTTCCCCGCGTTTCTTTACTCCTTTTCACACACACACACAAATACGTTTTCTCTCAGTTTTCTCTTTTATTTCTACTTTTTCGAAGTCGCGCGCATGATCCGATGTGAAAGAAAAGACTCCGCCTACGCTCGGGCGGTTACCGGGGCGAAAATGAGAGGGAGAGAGAGAGAGAGAGAGAGAGAAAGAAAAAAAAGAGAAAAAGCCGCTTAAAGGGCTCTTGACCGTACGATCGAGCGGACAAGAACGCGGTGTTTGTGACAGAAGAGTCTTGTCTGTGATCTGGTGACGAGAGGTACGCGTGGTACTATTATGTACACACGCGTCACGGGCTAGTCAGTCAGTGACACGCGGCGTTTGCGGTACATAAACACCTTACACACCGGGAGACACACCCCGTTGCCGCATAGAAAAAAAAACGGAAAAAAGCAGGGGGGGGGGAACGTGCCGTTGATAGAAACTTTTGAGTTTGGATGCTGGTTAGCTGGATTACTTACGATTCGCTATCTTCTGTTAATTTATTTTCCTAGCTCTGCTGCTATCGTATTTTTTGCTTGACACTTTGTTGTTAAAAGGTACTACCGTTGCCCGTGTACAATGTTATATCGAGCACACAGTAGCTTCGCGTCCGCCGATATTAAATATCATGTTCCATATGGCTGATGCTGTTTGTGCTTTAGCGCGACTAAGGCGTTGTTTAAGTTTCCGTACGATACAATTTTGTTAAATAATACATATATTTATTTACATATATATATCCATATTATTTCCTATATATAGTGTCCGAAATATATATTTTTGTTTTCACACACATGTGTATGTTCTGTCTTCCACTGGTAATTCAATTCCAGTCCTGTTTAATTTTAAGCGAATCCAAAGCGAGGGCGATTTGTGTACTGTCGAGCGTTTTCGATCGTTATGTTGTGAACCGTTTGAGGGAAAACGGGAACAATCGGTGCTTAAGTCCTCTCAAGAGAGGACGGATGCTTTTCAGTTTGCAGATTAATTTTCCCCAATTGGCTCTTCTCGTTTAGACGTTAACTCGTAAACCAGGAGGATACGAAAGCTCGCACGCTCGCGAAAAGACGCGCGATTTGTCTCTAGCGACTTGGCTGTGATTTGATTGCGATCTTATGCTTTAGTAAGGAATCCAAGTGCATGATGCTGTGTCCTTATCGAGCCGTTGTAACGCGCCAAAAAAAAAAAACAACAACCATGGAACTTATATGAAATAATCAATGACGTTTTCATTTCTATGCATGCCTCGTGACTCGTGAAGGAGAGCGTCTGTACCCGACGAGGAATAAATATCAGCGCTATGCTCATTACCTGTACTGAAAGGGCGAGGGACGTTGTTGTTATTGTTGTCGCCGCCGTGCTGTTGAACGTTCCGAATGTTATATATATTATATACGCACACGCGGCCGTCCTTGCAATTGTAATGAAACGAAGGCCCCGCCTTCGTGCTCCAACGAGCTGTGATCGCGCGAGGAACGTTTCTCCGCCCGGCGGCTTCCCAACGGTTTTAGGCTGGATTCACCACCCTGGTAGAGAAGCGAACGCCAATCAGAACTCCGGTAGTGAAGCAGCAACACTCTACCCTGGTAGAAAGCATGAACTTTCGGCTACTAGCGTGACTTCTGATTGGCTTCTTCTGCTTTACGGCGCTCCGCTTTTCTGCCCAGGTGTGAATCCAGCCCTAGATAGCGAATTGTTTGTTAAAGATATCAATTGCGCTCGCCGCATCGTTTGTTAATCGTATAAATTGCATTGATTCTACGTTACGGCGTCTTTATATACAATTAGGAGGTAATTTTCGCGTTGAGTCTCGATCATTTAGCGTTTAAGTTGACGTTGGCGAAAGTGTCGAGGTGCACCGCGTGTATTCCAACGGAAATGTGATATGTAAAATATATACAAGGAGCGTGGAGTAGACTATAAACGCGACCATTTCGTCAGTCTCGTTTCGGCAGGACTCGATTTACTTTGTACTTTGTGGCGGACGGAGAGTTATGCTTACTTTAGAGAGGCGTCAGTTTGTCAAGTTTTAGAAAATAATTTTCAAATTGGAAGTCTCAGCCAACGATCTTTGGCGCTTGTACGGCAGGAAATTTGGAAGAGAGACGCGACTGTGTGAGACGAAAGTCAAATAAAGAGGTCCTCGAAATAACTCGGGCAGCGATTGCATCCGAGGGACACTTGTACACCAAATACCGCAATATGATTTTTGCTCAACGATCGTAAAATTAATCGCAGTTATTCGACGAGTCTACGAGTTATTACAGTGTATATAAGTCTGTTTCGTAACATTAAGTCTTTGCGACTTTCGTTGTCCCGAAACACCACGGTAGAATCGTCATCGTATACTGCGAAGATCGATATAATTAACGCGCAGACTGGAAATAGACTTCGACGGCGTGTTTCCTGTGGGATGTCCATTTTGGATTTAGACAACAGCGATTGTTCGTAGAACGTTGCGCGTAATACAAAAGAATAATCAATCCGTCGAGATTGACATCTCAACGATCTAGAGAATAACGAAATCCGAGAATAGACTTCTCAAATTGTCTGCTACGTAGATAGTGTTAATTCTCAACGTATGAAGAAGCAAATGACACGCGCGGCAGATCTTGTAGTCACGTATAGCCGCTACGGTCCTTAGTGAAATTCGCAGATCGAGTGACTAATCAATAAACATTGTTTCTCTCAGTAGGGGTCGATATCTTTCTAAAGTTTATTCGATAGCCAAGGAAAAATATCACGTACGCGCGCATGCTTCCTCGAGAAAGAATCCGACTATGTTCTCGGTGGCGGTCTCGGACGGAAAAGGCGAAACGAGTAAAGCAGTAGTATGACAGTCGATTTAGCTATAGAATGCTGTGTTTCAAAATAAAGACGGGTTTTTTTTAACACGGAGGAAAGATGCGGAAACAGATATTTATTAAGAAAGAAGAGTCTTCCTCGTAAAAAGATCGGCACGTTGATGCTCTTATTTAAGCCTAGTCCACAATGTGCTCTTTGCGTCTAGAAACATTCTGTTTTGTAGCCAATAAAAACGTTCAAAAAATTTGTGCAAGTTGATAAATTGTACACTGTACAATCGTACGTTGTCGACAAAGTTTCGAAGCGTTTTGACTTGCTTGTACAAAATGGAATATTTCTGGACGCGAAGAGTACGCTGTTGGATTAGACTTTAGACAATGATGATCTGACAAGATGAAGGAGGTCGTGGAAAGATATTCAAATCAACATCGAGGAGTTACAAGTAGCTAAATCGACTTTTCTGGCATTCGTGCTATCAATATATCAGTCGCCGGACGCAAACGGATATCAACGGGCGAAGCCACACGGCCCTCCGTTTGTTCGCATCGGCCCGTGATGCGCCGCGAGGAGCCACCGCCACCGAATGCATCTGGCGGTTAACCAATAGTTAGCTAATTAACGATACAATATTGAGAGATAGACGAGATATTGCTCGATTTTTGTAGAATAGAATCTCGCGGACTCTTTAACGATTCTCGCTGTTAGACTTTTTCGTCCCCCCCCCCTCCCCCCGAATCGTGAACGACGCTTTAAAGTTTAAACGACCGACCCGGCGGCGAGGGCGCCGGCGAGAGGTGGATCCTGAAAACTAGGAGTAAAGCCTATCACGCAATAGAAAAGCACAGGGCAACAGGAATAGGGAATAACACAGGCAACAGTAATAACTAAATTCCAACTTATTCAGAAACCGTGTATCGACGCACAATGGAATATGGAATAGGCAATAGGAACAGAATTTCCGATGCGTTGGATTTCTGTTCTCTATTCCCTGTACCTGACCTACCTGACCAATCACAGTTGAGACTCTGTGACAGGCACGTGGTCTCAAAAAGCAGATGACTGGACAGCACTCCTATTGCCAACGAATCATTGTGTCTTGGCATCACATAGGTTCCTATTCCTCATTCCTGTTGCCTGTGCTTTCCCATTGTGTGATAAGCTTAACGTGTATGTCCTTCGACCCTGACAATCGTCCATCCTCCGTGGATTTATCGCATCTTGCCAGTTGCGTGCGACAGAAGGAAGTGGAATGCGATCACGCTCGGGGCGCAACGACAATACGGGTAACTTTTCGCCAATACGATTGCTGATAGCGCGTCTCCGCGCGTGTAAAATAAGATGTCCTTACAATAATAAGAATATCGATATATAGTCTTCGATCGTTGTACACTTATGAAATAAAATTTTTTGTTATCATTGCAATGCCATGCGTTAAGCAGTAAAGCTACTTGACGAACGACTGCAAAAGTAGTTAGCAGACACTGCCTAGAACTGCGGTCCGATTCTGTCACGGATGCGACCCAAGTCCGAGTCATCTTCGACGCTCTTTATATTATGATTTCATTGTACGAGCAGTAAATCGTTCGTCCCTCGTGTCTGATCGCGCCCCAGTTTCTTCTGTCTTGTCGTAGATCGCGTTTGCAGGCGGGAGACTCGTTCTCATCCCTAACTGGCGCACACGCGGATACTTGACACGCGATAATTGTAGAATTATGCGTAATAATCGTAACTTTTTCTTCTCGGGGGGACTTGGAGAAGATCGAAGCCAAGACCGCGTAAAAACGTCTCGCAAATCTCGATTGAGGTATACCCGACGGGCATGCTAATTAGGAAGTCAATAAAGAGGACTATATGAACGCCCGAAGGTCGCTGATGACGTTACCAGTTAGGGGCTTGAAACCCCAATTGCGTAACGCGTTCGAGGACACGATCCACCTTGCTCAACGTAAGATATTTAGACGCTGCTTCGCGCAAGGGCGAACCTCGCGATGTCGGAACTTTTAGGAATTTAATATTGCGAATGCGCCGGCGTTTGACCCGCTTCGGTTACTGACCGATCGATCGTCGGCGAGTTGCGAGCCGATGGACTACATTTTTAAACGCCAATACGCGTTCGCGGATAGTTTGCGCGGCGCAGTAATCTAGTTTAAAATAAAAAAAAACCGTGTGTCGTTTCAAGTAGCTTCAATACTTTTCCTTTTATTTTCTTCTTGTGTAGAGAGTTTGTTTCAACGTTGCAGAAGCTTTGTGTGAAACACACTCGCATTGGCATTCTCTCTCTCTCTCTTTCTCTCTCTCTCTCGTTTTAATTTAAATAATTTAATTTAAATAATGATTCTGATTCTCTCTCTTCCTTTCGATATTTGAAACGTTTGATTAATCGGAATTTTTTGACATTTGTCATGAAGAATACCTGGGGTTTGCGTATAATTTAAGGGATCTTCGACGATCGATTGGTCGACGAACCGACACGCAATATGTTGCACAGCACGATCGCTGCTAGATGATAAGAAGATCGATTAAACGTTGAAAACTTCATCAGTAAGGTAGACAGATTAATATAAGGCATCTTTCCATGCGCCATGAGAGAAACCTTTGTCGTTCCTTCGTTTCGCGGACAATTCCGTATTGAAGATCTTAAACGTCGAGATTGGCACAAATGTGGTGGATAATTCAATCGGTAAAGATATTAGATTTAATTAAAAAATCTGTCGACGAGATATGTAAAAATTAATTATTAAACACCGATGTATCTTCAGGTAATTATTTGATATCAAATGTGAAAGTTTATCAATCTGAATGGTCCCAAATTTGCGAGCGTGGCGACAAAAATTGTATTACAATATTGAAATTGGTTCTCCCTTTCAATCTAAAACGACCTGATACTTGAAATGCGAGCTCGACTTGGCGTCGTAAGCGGAAGATGCGATTGTAACTAGGTTTAACTTTAAACTATTAAGTAGTAAATTGTAAGGTCTAACGGATCGAAGAATGTGCGAAATGGTTAATCCCGAAGTCCAGTAGTGCTAACGATGGCTGTGATAAGGATAAGAAAATACTAACGAGAATTGCAAAAAGAAAAAAAAGTATACCGACGAAACAAGCGGATTAGCGAAGCTTCTCTTCCTCTCTTCCGATCTGATTTTTAATGCCGATATAAATTGATTTCGATATGGCTGTACAATACACCGGTATAGTTACGTTCGAAAACTGACAGCGTACTAATACATTGGACACATGGCTTCTTCGTAATGTCTCAGTTGATGCACGATATTGATTGTGGCTAAGTTAGTAAACAATACGCCGGGGGTGTTCATAAAATTCTCGCATTTCTCTTGGCTGCAAGATAACGAATTTGTAAAAGAAATCATTCCGCGCCGTGCGATTTGAAAGCTTGTTAAATTTCCAACGTTGAATATTTTCGTAATTTACATTTTACGCGATCGAAAAATCTCAAAGAGACGTTTACGTCCCATTATGATAGACTATAAAGTATATAATCTCGTTAACTCGTGTGCGCAAAGTTGCACGCGAGTCTTAATTTATCACAAATTTTTATTTTGTGAGAAATAATTATCAATTTCTTGTCAATTAGACAGTTGTTAAACGTTGCAAATTGTGTCTGGCCGTAGAAAAGTGCGACAGTTTGGGGGATACCCTAAAGTTTCGGAGAGGAGAAAATTCGGCTTCTTCGGCCTCGTTTGAGAACACCCGCGACATTCTCGATGATATATTCATCGTATTTTTCTCTTGTTCGTTATGACATAAAAATACAAAAATATATATATATATATACACATATAGTCTACGCAAATTTCTGAATTAGCGAAAGTTATCGTCGTTAGGCGAGTCTAGTGTCTCGTTAACATCAATGTTTACAAAAATGCGACACACGTACAGACAGCGATGAAGTACACACATACACGATAGATAGAAATACACGGAAAACTATGACACAATTATAGTTACAGTTACAGATCAATGTTCGTATCTCGTTGTACGGATATTTGTATTTAAACGTATTGAGCATTAAATGTAAATTATTGTATCGACCGCCGCTTTTTGTGCTGATGATGTTACAATCAATGGGATCCCCTCGCGCGACGTTAAATCGATCTTAAGCACAATCCAGACACTCGACGAATTCAATGATCGCGAAAGAGAAAAATAAACTATATCACACACGCACACGACACAGAAATAATGGGCTCTCTGTGATACTTTTGTACAAATTCGTTTCCCGCGGGGATTTACGCTAATTAAAATTAAGTGTTGAAAATCAGATTGCAAGCATTGCGCGCCTCGCGAATGTCTTTTTCGCCTCCTCCTCCCGCCCCCCCGATCTCGGTGGAGTTTTTTATACTCTTGACAATCGGAGTTGAAGTACGACGAAGTTTTCCTTCGCGAGAATGAGAAAATCATCAGGACAAAAAGTAACGCTCCGGAGGACTGACGTTTCAAGAATGAAACTATCCCCCGGGGATCTTCTAATCGATATCTTATATCTTTCCTATTCTCGTTGCCGCAATCGCGAGTTTCCTCAACGCGGTCGCTCATTAAATTTGATTAAAACACTAGAAACCGACATATACCAAGTCTAAGTCATTCGCGCCACCCTCTTTCTCTAAAATACGCTCCTCCTTCGCCTCTCTGAACATCTCCCGAGAAATCCAATGTTGAAAATGTAAGTGTCAGAAATGCGTATCTTGAAAGAAAATGTGCTATTTTTTAAAACGATTATAATATCGCGAAAAGACGTCTTTGAGGAAAACAAATGTCGAGAGAACACTTCGAATCTTGTTGTTAGACCACGAATTATAATTAAATTAAAATCTATTATATTTAAATGTCACACACGTACAAGTAAATTTACATATTTATTATCGTAACATATGTATTAAAATATAAGTTTTTTATTAACAAATAAATGAAGAATAAAACTTACGTATTCCGTTTAAAAAATGCCGAATCGCGTTAGCAAAGAAAAAAAAACAATGAAGGAGGAGCGTCAGAATCGAGACTCGTCTTTCGGAAACTGTTGTAACCGCCCGCTTTCATCTTAGTCATCCTCAATTTTCCAGGAGGGAGTGGACTCGGGATCGGCAGCGGCGGACGGGCTCGGAGCATCGGGGGTCCACCTGGAATGGGCATGGGTATCGGCGGTAGCGGTGGTCCGGGGATGTTGAACCGAGCGGGTGGTTTCGGACCGCGCGGCGGTGGACCTCACAGCGGCAGCTTCCTAGGGGGCGGCGGCGGTGGTGGTGGCGGAGGCGGCGGCGGCGGCGGTGGCGGTCCGGGTGCCATGCGGATGGAGAAGATACACCCGCATCGGTTTAATCCAATCGGCATGGGAGGCGGCGGTGGCGGTTACGTGCAATCGCACTTCTGGTGACCATAGCGCTGCGACGACGACAATGACAGTGACGATAATGATAACAGTGACAGCGAAGATGCGCGTACATTCACCACGACGTTAGTCGCTGGCTGAAGTCCTATTCATTTCAGAATCTCCCCACCTGTCCAACTTTAAGCGGTTCTCGCAAAATGTGTGTCCCCATTGATCTGTGTACTCCGGCACACCTCGTGCAAACGAATGTACCTAATATCCACCCTTGCATGTAGATTACGCAGTAACGCCGGCCGTTTACCGCGCGATCGCGGGGCCAAGAGTCCAGGATGGGGTTCAAATACGAAAAACACTTAACACTTGACGCCGATTCGACATCGATTGACAATAATTTCTCACTGAGAACCTTATTGTATGATCTTACGATATTAGGTATATTCGTTTGCACGATGTGTGCCGGAGTACACATCGTGCAAACGAATATACAGATCAATGGGGACACACATTTTACGAGAACTGTTTAAAGTTAGACAGTTGGGGAGATTCTCAAGTAAATAGGATACGTGAAGTAGGTAATGCGAGATTGCACTACGAGGGACGTGTACCTTTTTACTACCGCAGACCGAGCCCAGATGCCCCGCGAATTTTAGTTGAAACAGTGGACAAGGGCACAAAATATGATAGGAGGAATTTTGTCATCCCGCAAGACAAAATCACCATGTGTCAGGATTCATGGGTGGATTTTTAATAAAACTTGGAAAGGAAGATTCATGTTATCAGTCCTCTTCTCGTGTCATTCGAAATAAAAAGGCGGTCTACATTATTCGCGTTTACACCTCGCGAACTTTCAGCGAGGCAGGACTCGGGGTCTCGCCTCGAATGCTAGGCTTCGTGGTTTAGCTCGCCGTTTTTTCCCTCCCCTCGATCGACAATTTTTGACACACATTTTGCGAGAACTATTTAAAGTTAAACAGGTGGGGATATTCTCAAGTGAATAGGATACGCGAAGTAGATAATGTCGTGACGAGATTGCACTACGAAGGATGTGTATGTACCCCGTACCGCGGACCGAGCTCAGATGCTTCGCGAATTTTAGTTGGAACAGTGGACAAGGGCAAAAGATGAGAGGGGAAGGATTTTGTCATCCTGAAAGACAAAATCCCTCCCTTCCGCAATGTATCAGGATTCATGGGTGGATTTTTAATGAAGCTCGGGAAGGAAGATTCACGTTATTAGTTCTCTTCTCGTGTCGTTCGAAATAAAAAGCTCGTGAGTTTGCTCGCTTGTAGAGTAGCCGAGAGAGCTGGGAGGTAGGTCGGATACACCCGGGTTAGACCGGCTTCCTATTTACAGGGTGACATACGAGAGGGTGTAGCTCGATGTTAATATCAATGTCGAGAAGAATTTTATTGATGTCGAGAAGAGTAATGGTGTTGTTACACGCTCTGCAAAAGACTGTTTTTATCGTTTGTTAATGGAGAGCGTTGTTTACCGTTTAAAGATTATGCTAAGCATATTTTACAATTGATATTTTTATCGACATTGATGTTAAGATCGAGCTTGTGGACCTTTTCCCGTGGATTATCTCGCATTTTCGCGATAGCTACATGGCAAAACTGGGTAGTTGTAATTCTATTGAACTCGGGATGCCATGCATCCTTAATCAGTTTTATCAATTGCACACGTTGGATATGTTCGGAAATAATCTCGATCAGGGAATCAAGTATCTATTTAAAACAATAATGACTTGAAAATCTTTATTGTTTCAAATATTAACCGAATGCCCGTAAATAACGGAGAAAAGAATGAACTTCGATCGGAATTATTTTCGAAATAAATCGTTGCTATCCGCGATTCCAATTGTCCATCCGGTTTTATTTTAATTCCATTTACCTCGTGCGCGACCGTGAAGCTTATAAGGAATTTACATTGTTACCTAATACTAGAGATAATTAGCAGTCTCGTTTCTCCAACCTTACTTCGATACGTTGGTATTGATAATTTTAAACGCAAATTACGTACACACCCTGACTTATTCACGAACTATGATTAAACGTGAGATACCAAATTAATATTTTACAATATTAAATTCAACTTGTAATCAACACTTGATTGGTCAAACGTTGCTCTAGCAGTTTCACGGTCGCTCGAACATTGGTTCCAGTTCATCAGTGTTCGGCTTATATCACTAGACAATATGGTACAAGGTGTGTTAACAATTTCCCTACCGGTGAACTCACGACCATGAAGGGTTGAGGGATTCAGATAGACCGCGTTGTGCAAAAGGCTAACAATTCTATGTGTTGCAAATTTCATTTTCATTTAAGTTCTAATTCTTGAGACTACGTGACATTTAATCATAAGACAGAGTTTTATCGTAGGTCGCATTTGGGAGGGCGGAGTCGACGGACACGGGGCAACAGTTTCCCGTTTAACGCGGCACTGGATATCAGTGGTATCCTGCGGCGAATAAAAATCTGTATATTTGTGAGATACGATTTCTTTTTTTTTCTTTCCTTTTTCTAATCAGATAGAACGCCTGTGGCAAAAGATTCTTTCGGAAAAATCCAATATCCGCAAACGAATCATAGATAATCTTACATGTTAAGGAGCTAGGCATACAAACGAGTCGCCAAAATTAACACTAAAAAGTATTACTTTAGTAAGGAATGCTGATTATATTAAATTATTATAAATTATTATAATTTTAAACGATATATAATATTTATATTTTCCGTGTGATTTTTCATTCGTGTTGAAAACAATATTTTCTTAATTCTCGGATTCGTCTTTCGTTCGTGGCCGCTTCTATTTAGGTATTGGATCTTCCGAAAAGGCATGTTTATTACGATCTGCGATCGAATTCCAAAATCGTTTTAGTTCGTTACGACGCCGAGAACACGTGATCCGAACGTGTGCCGTAGTTAATTTAGATTAAGAGAATTTTAAACATGTGCCGCGCGGAAGAACAGGGTGAATGTAATTTATTTTAATATTTGAGAGCAGTATTAGGACGAAATCGCGTATTCTTTCGCAGTCCTGTGGACGCACCTTCGGCACACGTCGCACGTTATATTGAATTTTATCCGACGCTTTGATAGCGTTTTTACGAGGTTCGTAAATGTGTTGCTGGAGAGAGTGAAAGAGAGAGAGAGAGAGAGAGAGAGAGAGAGTGTGTGTGTGTGTGTGCATGTGTGTGAGTGAGAAAGACGCGTAATACATGAAAAAAGATATTTATGTAAAGCCGTAAACTACTTGGAATAAATACGATTAGCAACTATATATTTAGCTTTTGTTGATTGATCGTTAAGCAAGTGTCTCAAGTTTCTATTAATTAATATAATTTTTATTAATATTTTTTATACGCAAAGAGTCGATATCAAAATTTTATATGTTGCGTGTACTTAAGGTCTTGTTGATTAGCGTAGAAGCTTAGCGTCGGTGAATCTCGAGAAGCGCTCGATTTTAAACAAATTGATCACCATCGTTATCCTCGCCGTCAGTGGTGTACATAAACCTCATAGGGAGACTAAGACACTGTCGCGACCTTCTAGACGATGAGACTGACTTTTTATAGGGGACAGATTTTAAGCGTGTACGTCGGAGTCGTGCGTCGATATTTTTAGATAAAACAGAAAAAAAGGGAGGAGAAATAACGGAGCTGTACTTGTCTCCGAACCTGTGCGACAGGTTCCAAGGACAGCGCACCGATTGTCTATAAAGAAATCTGTGATTTGTACAAAGAGGAGTAAATGAGAAATAGAGTCGGTCATCTTAGAGAGGTGGGAAGGAATAGGACCGTTATTTTACGTCCAAGTGCAACGGAGATAAAATCTGAAGCAATAAAGAAATAAAAGTAGAACCGATTTCTCTATTCATGGAACACTAAGTTAACGTTACGCTATAGAATAATGCGCAGATCTTAACTGACAACCATCTCATAAGCAAATCGTTCATTAATTAAATCACACCGTTGCTTTTATATTAGATACGATTTAGTAATGTTTTTAAAGTTACCTGAACATAATTATTATTATAATAATTACATCTTTCTTATTATTATAATTATAATATTATTTTAACATCGTCACTAAAAATAGGCAATGTATAACTATAGAAATCGATCTGCAGGCTAAGTAGTATAATTTATTTATCACGTTAATATAATTATCATTCTGCAATGTATGTATAAATCGTCGAGGTTTGTGTAATTGCTGAGAGTAACCACTACGTTAACAAGAAACTAAATGGCGAAATACGGCGATGTGCTTGATTTACAATTGAAAAAGTTTCGTAACAAGTACAGCCGAATCGTGTAAGTGACACGATACCGACATTCGTTGCGTATTTCAAGCAACATACACATTTCCACAAATGTATAAGTTCGTACATAAGAAAAGATCGTAATAAATATCGAAATAACATTGACGAGGAACAATTATTAACACATTTACATGAATTGTGATGTCGCACCAATGGATGTGTACCAGAAACAACAAAAAACTTTAATAAACTACTGTCCGCTGCGAAGAGGATTTCTTATAACGATATTTTACGAAACTTACCGTAGAAATACGACTTGTACCGGAGGTACTGCGATTAAATTTAAGTTCGTATCTCTGAGGGGAAGATTGCGGGAATATCGAAAAACGAGGAAAATATTTTATTAATAATATGCACGATCGGATGTTACAAATCGTTGTCTCATGCGATGTTAATAATTCAGTGAAAGGGATGCTTATCGTGCTTTACAAGAGAACAAAGAAGGACCGATTGTCGAATGCTTTCCGATGTGCGACAGGTATAAAAGTGTTTCTGCAATTAAAATGTCCTACGATATATACTTGGTTTCATCTCGACGAGTAGAACCGATCACAGTGTTGCCCTTCAAAAGGCAGCTCGCATAGAAAAGAAAGCAAAGTGCCCAATGATGAGCCGCAACGTAATGGTTCGAACAACTTCCTCTGGGACGATGTCTTCTGACCTTCGCTTCCCCAGGACGAGGGTCAGAAAGAACATTGTTGACTAATCCTACTCCTCTTGTTGATTCTTCAGAGCGTTCTACAGGTTTTAAGATTCTAGAATTTAGTTTATTAAACACAAAAGTCTGATGAGAATAGTAACTTAAAACTTAACATGCTTTTGCAAAAAACGCAGGATTTAATATCATTAATATTGGAAGGAAAACTGTTTGACGGCGTCCAACTGGCTAGGGTGGTTTAATTTAACAATTTATTCCGACGTTTCGACCATCCGGATTGTGGTACTTTTCAAGGAAATATATCTACTAAATATTGGAGGAACTTATCTGTAAGCCGTTCGTTTAACAATTAGCAGTATAGCCACCGAGACGAAATGAGATTCACAACTGCATACTTACATGGATCAGTTAAAAATTACCGAAGATATCACCCGTCTCTGGATATCGGTCGGAGAAAGCTGTGTTTGAAGGCACGTCTATCTGACACAACAGCCACAGTGGGACTGCGGTCAGGAACGTTGCATCGAAAAGACAGATGTGAACACTAAAGGTAAATAAATAAAGACAAACTCTAAAAGTATTTCCTTGAAAAGGACTACAATTTGGGTGGTCGAAACGTCGGAATAAATTGTTAAATTAAACCACCTTAGCCAGTTTAACGTCGTCAAACAGTTTCCCTTCCTGCTTTTAATCAATTTCTGGCGACAATAATATTCTTGGTGTTATTAATATTAATTACTTCCCGATAAACACAAATGTAAAATTTATATAACACAGGTGTAGCTGCTAAAAACTTTACTGGGATGTTATCTATATATATTCTTTGTACTATGAATATATTATATATATATAGTTTTCTTAACTCTTGCACAACAATCCAGAAAAATTATTATTTCTATTATTTTCTTCTTCAATCTTTACACTGCAGGTCTCCGTATAAAAACGGAAAAAATTAAAGGCCCAATTTATTTTGTAAATTTGAAATTGCATCTGCGTACACTGAGAAAAGTCTTTGAAAATTTATATTTCATTGAAATAAACTTCATATGCCACAAATAAATTTTCGAAGAGATTTTTACGTCTTTCGTAAACGACGCTCCAATTTACCATCGTATTTTTAATTTACTAAGTGGAATATTATATTGCGATCACAAGATAATTATCTTAATTTGTACACTTTCAGCGGATTTAACTTGAGATTGTCATTACGGGCTTAACTGATACGTCCCAGAATTTGTCTACTTTTCGCCAAGGGTATACCCCGCTTTACGGTTTTCAATGTTACATTACGTGGAGCGCACTTTGATTACGTTATCCAGTACCGTCACAGTGGTAATTCGCGGAGGCACATATTTGGAAGGACGAGTTGCGAACGGTGGAAGGCGCGCTTCCAGACTGACGACTTCCAAGTTTGACCGGCGAACTTTATAACGCGAACGATTCCACCCACAGGATGCTGCGGCCTAGAGATTAACAGGCGAACTCATGAAAAGGAAACAGGAAGGGGGCGGTTAGACCAAGATACGTGAGTTTATCCTGAAGAGCGGCTGCATTCTTTCCTTCTCGCGATACTCGTTGAAATAAATTAAAATATGCCCACATTTCTTAAGATTATCTTGACGTCGGAATTAGTTTTTTTTTGGTTTTCAGTTTTTAATTCAATCGCGTTGGGAGAAGCCGCTGAATGATTATCCAACTCATGCCGACTAGAGGATTGACTCGGTATAAATAATTCAAAAAATAACTTTTTAGGAACACATGTGCGGAGATTTGAAATAGGAAAATTTTTGCCTGCCTCATAAGAAGGATTGCATTTTGGAAAATCAGCGTATTATCAGACTTGGCAAACTGAATAATGTTCGGGGAGATACCGGGACGGAGTATCCCGCCGATCAGCTTTCAACGGTCGCAACATGGATCCATGCGTTTCACTATCCAACCTTTGACCTACCACCAAGCGTCTTTTTTTGTACGCTCTTCCCAACCGTTGGTCCCCATTGAGGCCGGAGTTCTCCCCAGGAAACACAGCGAGGCTTCGCACAAATTGCACACATCTGCTCCGCGTGTGTTTCGGGGCGTGTTTTCGATTCGGGCTCGGTGATGGCAGAGTTTTCGCAGGTAAAGACGATTTTCACCGGCGCCTCGGTTTATCGTAAATTTAAATAAGAATGCTCTCGTATACAGTGGATTCCGGTGGAATCTCTAATTCGGTCGCAAGAAACGCGAGGATAACGATAAGCCGGCCGCAAACCTCTTCCCAAGTCCGCCGATAGAAGGGACCTTTTATCGCGGGCAGCTGCACGCGTCGTACACTCCAATTGTTACGCGATCGGTTTTATTTCGAGGAAAGGTGTGACGCGAATGCATAAAAAGCTTTTGTTTTTAGTTCTCAGAATTGTGACTTGGCTCGCGCACGCGAAGATAACGACGGACGCTAAAAGAAATAATGCGATAAATGAAGTTCTAGGAAAAAAAAGGATTGAATGAATTGAAATTAATTGCGGTCTTTATTAAAATTAGGATCGGGTTTCTCGAACGCTTTTTATACACGCCGAAGCTCTCTCCTCCTTCGAATTCACCATTATAATTTCTGATTAGAGCGATAAGGTCAGACATTCGGAGCAGAGAGAGAGAGAGAGAAAGAGGAAACCGCGGTGGGAGCGCATTGTTGAAATGACTCATCACCCGCGCGTTTCAGTTTATTTTCCTCGCGGCGAGTCCCTACGATGACACGATGCCGCTTTGAGATCACAGTTTTTTTAATGCTCGTTTACGCAACGCGTGCGCTGCCCGATAAAACGCCATTCCCTCGATTTACAATTCATTCACGCGCGGCGATCGTGCGCGCGAGATTGTACTCTCCCTCTTCTTTTTCCTCTTCCTTCCGAAATTTTGGTATTCTGAATTCTCTCTTATCGATAAAAGCGCCTCTAAAGGTGGCTTGTACGCGGAGGGAATTTTGTTTTAAATTTTACCCTGAAAATCGTGACATTTTCAACAACTTTACTAGTCAAAAGTATGGTAAAACTTGAAAAAACTCTCGTAAACGTGTGCACTGTAAAGGGAACGCCAGCAAAATTGGAAAGAAAATTGTCGGATATTGCAACATCGGTCCAAGGCACTTCTCGTCGGCCGAGTGTTCGTTCGTTGTATGATAGTATCAAACTATAGTATCAACGCGCGTCGCGCGTAGCACACGCGCGACACCCGGTACGTGGAGCACGTGCGTCCCGCGGGAGGAAGATACTCGGTTTCCGCCCGGCGCGATACCCGTTGGATACTCGCGGGAAATCGCGGCCGCGCTTTTTTTCTCTCCTTTTCCAACAACGATAGTGTCACGGCGGCACCGCGAGCGAGTCACGACTGTTACAAGCGGCATCCCGAGGACGACTGATCGCGAGCGGAATCCGCACGAGCGGAGCGCGCACGAGCGGTAAGGGAACCGTCGCCGGGAGAATGCGAAGAGAAAAAAAAGAAAGAGAGAGAGAGAGAGAAAGCGCACACGTGGGGTGCCTGTGGACACAGCCCCGGAAATTTTATGCCTCCCCTCATCCCCTCTCTTCACGCAAAGGGTCCAGGATCTCTTTTCAACTCTGTGAATTGCAACATGAGGTATGCGTGGTTGCATGTCACGAAATAGAATTTCGGGGCAAAATGTGTCGAAATTGGGAAAGAGCGAAGTTAAACAATTTTATTTGCACGTACCGCGCGTTATTCGTCGCGCGCTTCGCGTATCGCGGAACTTTGGAATCTTTTTCAAATACAATTTCAGAATTTTCGTTTAAAACATATTTAACGAAATGCTTTATCGAAATGTAATTTCGAAATTTTGTTAATAAAAATATATGTCTACGTTATTGACGTGCGTTTATATTGCGCCGCAAAAATTCAGAGGTAAAATGATTTCGCGCAGATTTCTGCGTTCCTACAATTCTTTGATTCGAATTTCATTGAGTACTACGTGAGTTTAACATAAGAGAAGTAACTTTCAAAGTTTCCTATTTCTGGAGTAAAACCGGGTAACGTGAGGAGAGTCCGTGGGATTTGTCCCTGGAACTGAATGCATCGCAATGAGTTTGTTTAAATTAAAAAACAAATTGAGGGCCGTAATGAAAATGACCGGGGACAAAATTTTCGTAAAGGCGAGATTTCTCGCCTCGTAGAAGGGATCGAAGTAAGGTCAAAGAGCACTGTCCTACGGCACGAGGGGACGCGATGGAATTTGCATTTCCTGTCTACGATGAATAATTCCGGGCCGTGCTGGTCGCGCACGCTTTCGAATTATGCCCCCGCGCGTACACGAAATTGGGCCCAAAGTGTTGAGCCCTCCCCGTCACATCTGGAACCCTTTATTCCAGCCCGTCTAAAACGCTTCCTATGCGCGCGATGAAAATTTAAGTGATCGGATTTATCAGTTGAAGTGGCATTTAAACAAGAATTCTTAATGTCGGGGAAATTAATCTCGCCGACTACACGCGCGTCTTTTTTTCCCACGAGATAAAAGAATTATTCCATTCTGTCTATTTGGCGAAATTTAACGGGGAGGAAATTAAAGTCGAAGCCGGAAATTGGGATCAGTGTAATCTCTATCTCTTTTTTTTCCGAGTAAATTCCAATGAGAAACTAACACTTCTACTTTTGTATACGTTCGAGAACTCTGAAAGGGGGCCCTACTGTTCTTCACAAACTAGAAACTACAACAACGTGAACTTTCTACAAAGGGAGCCTTCGTTCGCCAGACGGAGGGCCCGACGCGAAGGGTGGCTGAGTCTTCGGGGCAAACGTAAGAAACAGCGGTCCAGGGAAGGGAGGGGTGCGGGGATACACTTATACGAACAGCTGTTTGTAGACTGGGTTGTTGACCGTGTTCACCTACACAGGGGGAATATTCACAGCGGGCCCTTTCACAGGCCTGTCTCAGGTACGCGTATCGCGCCCGCGTTGCACCCGCTCGCTCGAACCGTTCCCCGATGACTCAGACGGGGTACAATGTCTGCTCGCACACAAAGAGGAAACAGCGGGCCTCACCGCTGACCTCCAGGAACGATTATATATCGTAACACACTCTTTCAGCCGTCTCAGAAGTTCTCTACATGACGAATCGATAAAAGTTCCTGGCATTTTTTTACTTTTCTTCTCGAAGTTGGATTCGAAAGTTTTAGAGGCTTTCGTTTTGCTCGTGTAATTTGAAAGATTTGAAGAAAGATTTAGTGGCTTCCTTTCATTTATACAATCATCTTCCGTTATCGCGGATTTTTCCATAGCTTCCTTTCTCTGTACTTTCCGCCTTATTTTATTAGGTAGATAACGAAGTTATAGTCATCTTTCTATAAGTAGACTTTGTAAAATAAAATAACCGGTAAAAGAGTAGTTAACAAAAAGGGAGACTAATGATACAACAAATAATTAACAATTTGTCATCGGTCTGGTAATCTAATTATCGCAAAATCATTTTCTTCCTGATGGTCTTCCGTTTACTTGAGAATCTCCCGTGGTTTGTCTTCAAATTAGGGTGGCCGTTTGCGATTGGTCGGTCGCAGAGACGAGGTCGAGCGAGATAAAATGCGAGGAACAGCCGCCAATGAGCGCAACGTGTGGACGATGGGGCACACAAGTGTGTGCCCTGAGACAAAAAAGCGCGCAACATCTGGAACTTTGGAGTAGAAGGCGATTCGCTGTAAAAACTATTTGTACACCCCGTAGGCGTGGGAGCGAGATCTCCCTTCGTTAGCTCATAAGGTCTCGTTTCGTCCTCTCGTTTCGTTGCCTCGAGACGTGTTTTCCCACGTCGGGCGATTTTCTTTTCGACGATTGCAACAGTATGTGCGAATGATCATTCCCAAGTTGCCCCACACATTGTTGACGCATTTTGAAACGCGATTTTGAAATTCTATCACGCAAAAATCGATGAAGCGAGGAAGCTTAGTTGTACTTTGAGTCGTCAATGCATCCCGTTTCGCTCCGTCTTGTCACGCAGAAAAAGAAAGTCGTTCTTAAAAGGGGCGGAAAAGGTGATTAGAAGACCTACGAATTTATTTATACAAATAATAATCGATATAAAAAGGGGCAACGAATTAATACCGCGCACGTATATGTTTCTTATCTTTAAATGTAATGTACTTGTTCAGTTTTGTTAGAGACATTGCGAGACGTAGATATCACATATAACACGACAGACTCGAGGTAAATCACATTTTATACGACGATACCCATTATTATATACATCCATCCCAACAAACACCAAAGGAACAGTTACACATGCGTTATATTACATTTACATTGATGTTATATCGACGTTACATACTATTAACAAATTAATAAAATTCGTATGGCTCACATGTGATAAACACAAATTTGAAGGAATAAAGGACTAAGAGCTGTGACAGGGTGTTAGTGTCTAAATATTTCATATTCTAAATTAATTACGAAAAATATTACCTTAGCCAGGGTATATACTATTACTTTGGTGTTTGCTGGGATGATATCGTATTAATACACGTTTTCGGGTAATGATTGTTAGTACTCGATGGTGACCGTCTTCGTCTTGAGATATTCGTTAAGGGCCTCCTGCCCCAAATCCTTGCCGAACCCAGACATCTTGAAGCCGCCAAACGGTGCCGCTACGTCCGTCTTGTTGTACGTGTTGATGAACACGGTGCCGGCCTCGATTTTCTCCGCGAACCTGAGCGCCCTGCTGATATCCTTGGTGAGGACGCCCGAGGCCAGGCCGAATTCCGTGTTGTTCGCCCGCGCGATCATCTGATCGACGTTCCTCGAGCTGAACTTGGAGATCACCATGACCGGGCCGAAGGACTCTTCCCTGGCAATGTACATGTTGTCCTCGACGTCCGTGAACACGGTCGGTTCGAAGTACCAGCCGGGACGGTCCAACCTCTTGCCGCCGTAGAGCAACTTGGCACCCTCCTCGACTCCCTTTTGCACGAACTGAAGGAGTTTGTCCAGATGTGCCTTGTGATTCTGCGGCCCGTGAGCCGTGCTCCTGTCCAGTGGATTGCCGATGGTGATCTTCTTTACCTCGTTGATTACACGTCTCACGAACTCGTCATGGATGGTCTCCTCGACGAAGAGTCGTCCTTGAAGGCAGAATAAAAAGATTAACTATAGATAATTTAATTTGATTCAATCCTATCCTATTATTAATTGACGGAAGATATCACGAAGAAAGATATTTCGGAGATATTTAACTTTATACTATTTTAAAGAACCACTACTTGAACTCTGAAGTAAAATAGAACGTGCTGTCTCTTACCGGCGGCGATGCAGTTTTCGCCCTTATTGAAAAACACGCCGTTCATACCGATCCTGACCGCTTGCTGCATATCGGCGTCCTCGAAGATGACGAGGGGACTCTTACCGCCGAGCTCCAACGACACTTTCTTCAGGTTACTGTCGGCGCAACGTCTCATGATGGTTTGGCCGACCTGCGTGGAGCCGGTGAAGCCCAGCTTTCTGATCAACGGATGCGCCACTATGGCGTTTCCGACAGCACTGCCGTATCCGCAGACGATGTTGATGACACCGGGTGGAATTCCAGCGCGTGCGGACAGCTCGGCGAATTTCAGGGCCGTTAGGGGCGATGCCTGGGCCGGTTTCATCACGACGGTATTGCCGGCCGCCAGACAGGCCGCCATCTTCCACGACAGCATCATCAGGGGGTAGTTCCAGGGTGTGACCAGGCCGCAGACGCCGATCGGCTCGCGCCGTGTGAACGTGAGATTCCGGTTCGGGCGGGCGTGCGAGATGGGTATGGTTGAGCCTTGAATCTTGTCGCACCAGCCGGCGAAGTAGCGCCAGGTCTCGATGGACATGCCTATGTGGGTTTTCAGAGCGAGAGTATAGACCGCGCCGGAATCGAGGGTCTCCAGAGTGGCTAGTTCTTCCTTGTGCTCCTCCATTAAATCTGCTAATCTGGAAAAAAAATATAAAAAATGTTAGAAAATTGGAATCGAATCTTCGCTAATTCCATCGGGAATCGAGCGACTTATTTAAAGAACTTTTAGTTTATTTTTCATTTTTCTACTTCTCGCAGAGTTAATTCGTGTCTAGTCAGTTTATAAAAAAAAAAGTTTAACATACGATGAGAATTAATAGAAAGATCAGAAGAAGATGATGGCTCTCCTACCTGAACAACAACGCTCCTCGCTCCCTGGCGCTGATTTTGCCCCACTCACCCTCCTCGAAGGCTTTGTGAGCGGCCCTGATGGCTAGATCGACATCCTCGGCGCTCGCGCTTTCCACCGAGCAGATCACCCTCTCGTCGTGAGGATTTATCGTATCGACAGGATTACCGTGGCCGTTAACGAACCGGCCATCGATGAAGAGCTGCTTGGGGAATCTCAGGGTCATGTTGTTCGTCTGCACCTCCACAGCATCGTACTTGATCTCCTTCGCGGCTAGGTTTCCCCGAGCGGTAAGTACGACCGTCGCGACGAACTCCGTGAAGACCGGCGCCATGAAGACGTCGATGTTCTGCAGGCTTACGCCGAAATTGTCCTTGACTTCCTCCACTAGTCGCACCACGTCCATGCTGCCTCCACCTGAGACAAAAATTTCGCAGGACTGACTCGAGTGTCGCTAATTGTCACGCGTATAATTGATTTATTACAAAGGAATGACGCTGACGAACAAGAAATCAAAATTAATTTATTATATGATACACTTTCTAAAAGTCAATCGGTGCATTTATAAACGTGAATCAGTGAATATTCACTGTTTTCAGTAATAATCCACTGATTGACTTTTGGAGAGCATATAAATCTTAAATCTTTTTAAGGTAACAAACTTAACAAATGTATATTTAGTTGAAACTCTCGAATGAACTAGAAATTTCTATCCAAGTTCGGGACATGAGATTGTCAAGAAATGTTGAGGCTTACCGGAGGCAAAGAAATCCGTGTCGTCGTCCACGTCGATTTTGAGAATATCCTCCCAGATTTCGCGCATACCGTCGATAGTCTTCAGCTCCTCTTCCGTGAACTCCTCGATCTGGTTCCAGAGGCTGTCGTCAGTCTGTCCGTATTTGCTGGCGTGAATGGTCTTGGTCCCGATTTTGATTCTCTCCACGTTAACGAATCGCCCGTCGACGGCCTCGATCAACAAACCGCCGTGATGAACGTTTCCCATTCGCTCCCCTAGGTTGACTGTCTTCTCGACTTCCTCCGGTTGTTTGCCGTTCCACAAGGATGACCCGAAAAGACGCACCTCCTCACCGTCCAGCATCGTCCAGGCTCCCGGTGTGCTGTCCAGGCCACGAATAAAGTCGTGAATCTCCTTGGCCGGCTTGGTCCAGTCAACCTTCTGGAGTTCCTTCTTGTTCAGCAGGGGATCGTAAGTCGCACCCTCAACCGGCTGCGGCACCATAGGTGCGATTCCCTTGGCGACGAGGTCCACCGCCTCACCCATGGCCTTGATACCCTCCGGATAGAGAAATTTGTTGTACAGGCTGTCTACCGTGTCATTCGGTTCCACCTTGCAGGATTTCTGAAGGAGAATCGGCCCGGTATCCAGGCCGTCGTCCGCCCAGAAGATCGAGAATCCCGCGGTATTGTCTCCTTGGATCAAGGTCCTGGAACGTGAGATATATTGGCCTATCAACATCGTGTTTTTGCATTGCATAAACCCAATAAGAGAATTATTACATTCCATAAAGAAATCATTTTAACTTGTTGCCCCTGGAGTGAAATCGGTTTAGTGGCAAATTGATTGTTAGATCGCGTGTGTACATACGTTGCGAAGAAAGATCTGTGAGTGAATTTCGACGTTGAAAACCTGCTATCTCATAATAGAGGACTTTCCCCTAATAATTACATTAATTTACACATGCATACTGAATAAGAAGCATGCTAATTCACGCCTAATAACATAGCTTCTATTATTACAACGTAGTAAAATAAGAAGGCGAAGACACAGAGGTTCAAGAGACTACTTATAATTTTCGCAATCCGTGGAAGAAACGCGCGTCTCGGCCGGCGGATAAACGCGCCGAAAATGCGATATCGACTTATAGGTCAAGAGTGTAAGTAAAACGCGCACGATACGCGGCGGCATGCGAACACGCGTAGTCGTTCAAAGGGATCATATGGCCGGCTCGTGACCGCTTATTATCGTCATTATCGTCGGCGGCGTTTTCAGCGAGAAAGTAGTCTCGCCTCGCAATCTGGAGCGCGAAAACCGCGGCGAACCGGTTGTTGCGGCGCGCCGATATCGGGAGACATGATACCGCAGTCGGGCTGACTTGGCGCGGGTAACAGCTCGCTAGATCGTAAAATAAACAAATAACAAGTGAAATAGCTTTAAGCGCAGAAGTTGAATAATATAGACGTCGGAGAAACTTGACTTCTCCGCGTACGGTTCGACTACGATAAAATATTTCGCTCCGAATCGTCACGTACAAACGTACTATCGCGTCTCCGATCTCTGAAAAATTTCCGAAAGACACGTGGCGACCGAAGGAGAACTCACCAGCTTATGGCGCTCGCTCCTCTGTGCCTGGGCAGCAAAGACGGATGATAACATACGCTACGGTGACGAGGATGATTAATGACCTCCATGGGGATGTACTGGCTGCAGAAGGGGAGAACATTGAGGTCCACTTCGATGCTCTTGTACAGCTCCAGGATTTCGGGCAAGGTCGCTCCCTTGCTCCTCCAAGCCTTGATCTTGAAAACCGGCGTGTTGTCGGCTTTAGCGGTGGTTGCTGCGATCGAAAAGCAGCGATAACGAGACGAAATGAAAATCGCAGGGGATCATCCATTGAGTGTCCCAAGGGAGTTCTCATAAATCTCAGAATCAAAGGTCTCGAAGGGACGAGAAAGCCAATGGGTGATCCCGATTCTTCCCGCGATCGTAAGAACTGCGAAGGTAATCGTAATAGGATCGGTACTTTTAATTCACAAAGCGATTCTTGTACCTAGAGGATCCTCGCGGTTCCCCTTATCTGGGATCGTGAACACTCCGGTCACCTGGTGTCCGTTCTGCAGCAAAAGTTTGTAGACTTCCGCCGCGAACGGGCTCTGTCCAATGATAGCCACCTTGAGCTGCGCCATCGTCGACTGCAAAAGATTTTGAATTACACATTAATTACATCGTTGAAAATTACATCGAACTCTTAACTAAAGTACGTCGAGAAACGTCACATCTTATTGCTTCATTTCTATTATCTACTTTACGTTACGAAAGTTAGTTTCTCGACAGGTATCTCTTAAAACAGCCCAGGTAGAACATGAAACTCACAATGGCATGATGACGTTACTTAAAAATTATATTCACAACACTTCAACGTCACTTTAATGTCATCGTGATCCCTTGTTCGATCTGAGAAATGTATTGATATTTGAGGTTTTACTTTATTAAATACTCTAATTAAATAATTATACATTTAATATTTGAGTCAAACCACATACCTGTCCAAGATTTAGTATCCGACACCCGTGACAGTTTTTAAGCAGGCTGTAAATATATTTACAAAGCTCATTTACAGAATGTATTCAGCTCTCCCCGTTTAAAATAATAGGTGGAACATGATCAGATTGCATTAGATTATATTCTGTCTAATATTTTTAACGGGGCTAATTATTATCACGCGTACTTATACCGCCACCATTACCGCATGCGCATAAAAGGGAAGATATGTAATACATCAGTTAATATAGCGAATAACCTGTACCGGATAATTATATACAATAACAATTTTATGTATTAAATTAAGAAAGAACATATTATATGCAATAAGGCGTATTGTTCTAGCAACGATAACGAAGTAATTAATCCGAGAGGAAAAGCCGCGTAATTAACATGTCCTCGCGGTATCAGCTTTTTCCCTTCTCGTTTTCGAATTTCGGTGAAACGCAATCGGATTCACGGCTTACGATATCCAAGACGAAGTTGCGCCGCCAGATGAGATTCCTGAAGCCCAGCATCGGTTGCAAGAGCGTATCGCGGGGTATGTCCACGTCACGCCTTCACTTTCCTCACTGATTGCGCTCCGAGTGGAATTGCCCGACGATCGAAATCGGTTCCTTCTCTTGACTGCGAGCACCCGGGTAAAAGCAGCTATTTATGTAACGTGAATGATATCTTCATATCGATATCGGCTGCAAACGAGGGTCAAGATAGAAATCCACATCTTCTCGAGGCATCCCATTATCTCCGGATGTCATGAATGAGTGATATCCAAAGGCATGCGACCAAGATTACGTACGAATGATTTCCCTGCCATCCTAAATAGCACAGCAAGTCAACAACGATTCTTTTGAATCCCCAAATTAATGAGAAGAATCTTTCTCCATCCCATTTGTTTTAAAAACATCCCGAGTCCTAAAAAAATGCACTTTTATAGCGACAATTCTTTGTCAGATATAAAAGGAATTCTTTTTAATATAAATAATAAAAAAATGTCTTAGACGGCCAGGTTGAATCTTTCTATAATAAATTCTACATTTTTTAGATACACTTCCATCGAATCCTTTTTGAACTACCGGGTGGGAGTTCTCTCGAGTTTATTTAGAACAGATTACGTTAATTATTAAAGAATTTAAAAACGTGAAACCTTTTTGCGTAACGATCATCTGCGCTATTTGGGATGATTACTAAAAATTAAATGTTAAACAAGGAAATTTATAAATTGTTAATTATCGCAGGATAATTGTAGCGTATCGGGAATCGGATAACGATGGAACGCTGTTTTGCATTTTTGGCAACGGTATTTATTATAGAAATATTCGATCCACAAGAAAAATGCATAACTGTTTCTTTACTAGATTGATCGCATTCATCTCACGATCAAGAGTTGCGGAAAGAATATTTGAATCTTTTTTGAGACAAACACCGATACCGTTTTAAGTTTATTCACGTCAAATGCAACAACGGGAAATTGGCCGGAGATTTTTTTTTTCCATGACGCCAATGACTTTCTAATCGCGGGACACGAGCGCAAACCAGCTTGCTCCAGTTAGGAGGAAAGATCCGCCGGTTTCGAGATCGTTAGGTCACAAGTAGGTAAAAAGCCGCGCTGATAAATTCGTTTGTGTTTATACTGGCGAGTCCGAACCGCCACGAGCCGGTTTCAGGTCACTCGCCGCGCCGAGGTGACGATCCTTATCGCAGGTTCATGTCAGCGTAAAATGCGCGTTTGGTATTATCTGATTTACGCATTCGTAATACCGCCAAGACGGTCGATCATCTCGCCGTAGCCCTGTTACAGCAGTCATCTAACAACGTCCTCGTTCCATAAAGACCCGTCTAAGATTATGCACCTTGAAAAGAATCGCATTTTCTTTCGGATAAGCCGAATAAATTTTCTCGGATGCATACTTCTCAGAAGACCAGAGTAGGCGCATCTTTTCTGTAACTAAAAAAATCTGTGCCTACGAATTTTATTATTAATTTTATCATTCTGTCACTCCTAAATTGATTTCTTAATTAATACAAGATTAATATAAGAGACAAGGCCTTCACAATCGGAAAATGAACGGACGAGAAAATTACATACGAAATATATATTATATGTCGGCTACATATGCATGTATTTTAACGTTATCGAAGAAAAATATCTCGTAAAACAGATTATTGTACTATATTACAGATTAACGTGTAATTGTATTAGATTTATGCATGTCTACATGATTTATGGCTACTCTTATGGTACAACATATACAACTTTCTTATTTAAAGTTGGTTCCCTTTGGACCACTTTATATAGCTTGTGTAACAATTTTATTCGTACTACTTGGTCGCGGATAAGGATACAATTCCAAAATTCCGCGAACAAATGTTGTCATATTTAAAACACAGAAAACTCGCTTTTGTCGACAAGCGATTTTTCTTCACGTTTAACACGTAGCAATTTAAGATGAGTTTTAAATTCTTCAGATCTCCTCGTTTCCGCGACAAATCGAAACAGATCTGCAGATAAAATTTGGAAAAAAGCGAAAGAATCTTTTTAAAAGCTGGTTCAGAATATAGACACAAGTGAATCCAATAAGCAGCGCTAGTCTTTTTACACGAAAATGTACCGCTAATCTCTCTTGATTAAAGCGAATCAACGTTTCTCAAATATTAATCGAACGTTCAATACCGCGGTACTTTGAATTCGGATGCGCCGTCGATCGCCGTCGTCGGTTTCCTCTTGTTCATAATGTTCTGAATCTTTTGCCACTCACGGTCCAGCTCCGCCTTTTCGTTCTTCTCCTTATTGTACTTTCTGGTACGCCTGCCGTCGGCCATCTTTACACCGTACTGGAAGGCTGCCTTAGGCAGTGCCTCCTTATTATTCATGTACTCGCTGTATTCCTCGGGCGTGTCAAAGTCCCAGCGCCCTATCGGGCCCTTCTTATTACCCAGGTCCATCTTCGTGTAATCCACCTCGTCGTCCGAGTCGTCGATAGCGTCTTGCATCTCGTCCAAGCCCGGATAACACTCGGCGTATCCTTCCGGCTCGGCCGCGAGTTTGTTGAGCAAGGCGCCCTTTTTCGGCGCGTTGCCATCCGCGACGGCGGTCGCCGCGGCGGTAATCGCGCTCGGCTGCAAAGCGCTCGGCAATTGCGGCGCGTTTGCCTTGTCGTCGGTGTCCAAGTTCGGCTCGGGCTTGTCGAAATACGAGCCCTTCTTTTTCTCGCGCGACTGCCCGTCCTTCTTACTCGCCACCGTCGGCACGTAGTCGCCGATTTCGCCGTAAATGCTCTCGTCGGCGGCGAGTGGCCGCGGCTGGACGTCTATGTCGTTCAGCTCGTCGCCACGACCGCGTCCGTCCTTCAGCTTCTTGCCCTTCTTGCTGTGCCGGCTACCCTGGCGCAAGTACGACAGTATTTGTGCCAGTTTGTTGATGACAATATCGTTGGTCGTGAGAGTCGGTATGTTGTCGATCGTCGGGACGTCCGCCTTGCTTCTGATCAGCGTCGTCGGTATGTCGACGTCGGCGTTTTCGTCATCCAGCTCGATCACATATGCCATGCGACCCGGCGTGAACAGCTCGTTCCTTTCAATCTGCTTGGATTTCATAGTCATCACGGTCTTGTACACGTTCCGGCCGATCTTCGTCTTGAATTGCATCTCGTCGTCCTTCTTCTCAGGAGGCGGCTCCTTCTTTGTCTTTTCCTTCGGCTTCACCAGCTTCTCCAACTCCTGTTCTTGCTCGTATTCTTTCGCCTCGATCTCGCTGCGAACCTACGGAGTGTAACTGAATTAAAAACCTGACGCTAGAACGCACCTTATCTTGTACAAGTTGCATTGTACTTTATTGCAATAAAATTTCTATCTACTCTCAGGACGCGCCGAAGTCTGTCTCCAAACGCGAAAGTTTCCTTCGTTAAGGCTCCGAAGGAAATGGGATAGAGGTGTGATGCAACCCGAGGGAGTTATACCTTTTGCAGAAGAGCGTAATCCAGGCCCTTGACCAAGTGAGTGTGCTCCATGTCACCGCCCAAGAATTTCGACTGCTGAATCATCTGCCTCCTGCGCTCCGCTGCGTCCATGCCGGACTTGACGTCCGGCGCGACAGCGCGGTAGGCGCTGGCGCTGTTCATGGGATCCTCCGCCTGGTAGTCCTGATTGGTGCCGTCCCTGCGCTCCCTCGCGCGATCCCGGTACTTCTCCGCGAGCTCGGCCATCTTATCCTCCTCCTGCTTCTTCAGCTTCGCGTAGAAGCTCTTCTTCTTCCTGCGCAGCTCCGCCCGGCTGCCGCCGCTCACCTGGGGCGTCTGGGCGGTCTTGGCGCTGGCGTCCCTCGCCGTGCCCGGCACGGAGGCCGGGGTGGCCGAGGGCACCGACGCCCTCGGCGTCATCAGGAGCTTCCGGAAGTCGTCGTTCGTCAGGCGGACCGACATGCCCCCCTCTTCCTCCGTTTCTGGCATCTTGGCTGGCTGCTTTTCCTGCACCAGGTCACACACAAACTCTTCGAGATACGCGTTTTAAAGCGATTCAACTTCTTTCTTAAAAAAAGACGTAAGACACTTACCTCTCGTGTCGTTAAAGACCGCAGGAAGCAAAGTGACAATTCCTGCGCGATAATCAGTCGAGCGAGCTAGCGCGTTTACGGAACGTCCAAGGGTCTGTTTATTGACAGGACGATAAGCTGATGAAGCTGATTGATCCTCGGGGTCTCGGTCTCTAGCGGCGGCAGTCCGCAACCTCTGACGCAGGCTGCCAATGTGAGAGTTTCCCCATATTCCCTCTCGGGGGGAGGCAGGAAATATCCCTATCGTTGCTAGTAACGTACGTCCATGGCGGACGTGGTTGAATGACGCGTTGACACGTTCCCGGCGCACGCGGCGAGCGTAATTTGGACTTGATATTGTGAAAGCTGACTGCGGGCGATTGTCGTTCAACGTCCTCGCGATTGTTTGCGCGCGCGATGTCCGCCGACAAGGCTGCTCTCGCGGACGGCGGTGCCGCCGAGAGCGGCAGGAGTCGCTTCACCCGCGGTGCAAGGCGGAGAGGTAATTCGTGTTTTACATTCAAATCTTTAAGGCCGGTGCCGCGATTCTTCAATTCTTTTCGAGAGGGAAACGCACGCGAGAATTCTGCTCTCGCAGAGAAAAGTTGAATCGGCTAAACACCACGCGAGTAGCCGATCGACCTCTTCTGCGAGAGCAAAATTGTCGCATACGTTTCTCCTTCGAGTGACTTCAAGACTCGAGGACCCTGGGCTTCACCAACGTCGCTTAACTTTAAGCCTAGCTCGAGTCAGTCTTTGTCTCTTTGTAGCTGTTGGACCCGGTTTCACCAACGTCGCTTAACTTTACGCTCGGCTCAATTCGTTCCTTGGCTCCTTTCAACTGTTACTTTAGAAAGAGACAAACGTGAATTAAACTGAGATCAAAGTTAAGCCGACGTTTGGTGAAACCGGGCCGGATTAATATCGCGACGTTCGTCTAGTTTACACACTTTGATATCGAGCATTTCGTTAAGGGCGATTGTTTCCCTGAAGGTGGCTGCCAGAACAAGTTCGGCGGAAGAGGCTTCAAGCGCGCGCTCGACCGGTCGCCGCGGGAAAACGCGAAGAGGACGAAACTGGACGTCGGCAGCAGGCTCAAGGAATCCGACATAGGAATTACAGAATACATCGGCGGCCACTCGGGCTTCTTCGCGATAATCAAAGAGAGATACAATGATTTTCATGTCAACGAGATAGGTCTCGACGGAGAAGTGGCCAAGCTGACCCGTCAAGACGTCCCGCACATTCCCTGCGACAACGAAAGTATCGAGGATCTGAAAACGCTGGTGTCGCCGGTGATATGGGACCAGCTGCAGGCTCTGGCCGAGGCGAACCCTTCGAGCGTGGAGATCGACGTGACTGGCGTCGATAAGGTCGAACGCAGGACTATTCATAAAATTGCAAAGAGACTGGCGGACGTAGTCAGCCAGACGGTAGACAGGGACGATAAAAAGTTCCTTACGATCGTGCCGAGTGGGAACAGCGATAAGGGTGGTAAGTTGTAAACGTTGGCATTTGCGAAACAAGACTCCCGTGTAATCTCTGATTGTCACGTCAGTTCACAAGATACGCCAGGACAAGAGGATAGATTGGAACGGATGCGGCGGGAATTACTGCCACTTTCTGTTGCACAAAGTAAACATGGACACGATGAGCGTCGTGAATCAGCTGGCGACGAGCCTGCGGATACAGCCGAATAACATTTGTTACGCCGGCACGAAGGACCGCCGCGCGTGGACCACCCAGTGGATGAGCTTGAAGAAGGTCGACCCGCGCAACATACTGAGAGCCGGTAGAAGTGTACGCGGCGCGTACGTAGGGAACTTCAAGTACGCCAAAGACAGCCTGAAATTGGGGATGCTGCGCGGCAATCAATTTAGGATCGCGCTGAGAAATGTTTGCGAGACGGACGAAAAGATCGAGCAGGCAATGACGTCGTTGCGCGACAATGGCTTCATTAATTACTACGGTTTACAAAGATTCGGCACGGTGCCTACCATACCCACGCACGAAATCGGGAAGTGTCTGCTCCAGGGTGATTATCAGACGAGTCTGTCTAATATGAGGTAGCGGGTTTTCAACAAGCAAATTCAATCACCAGTCTTTTTTCACAACGATTGTATAATGTAACATTGAATTTTCCACTAAACAGATTTCGCTACAAGGGCAATAAACTGATGCCTATTAACTTAACAGAAACTTCGCTATCCCATATTAGAATCTTATCTCGTAACAAGGGATTTTCCTCTATCGTTTTCAATTATATCGTGCAGCATTTTTAATTCATGCACATTGAACTATCTTTTATCGATTAGGTAAATGGCGCGAGGCGATTGAATTAATCTTGAAACCGCGGCCGGAAAACGACAAGGAATTAGCAGAGGCTAGACAGGTCTATGCGGAGACCAAGGACGCCCGTGCGGCCTACGCCAAGCTCAAGAGAATCGATACGATCGAAGCCAGGCTTCTGAAAGGTTTACAAATGTCGGGTGAAAAGAACCCTCTGGGCGTGCTCGACTCGGTTCCTCGAAACATTCGATTAATGTACATTCATGCTTATCAGAGCTTCGTATGGAATCACGTCGTTTCGAGAAGAATGAAGCAGTTCGGGACAGACGTGGTCGTAGGTGATTTAGTTTATGATAAACAGAATTGCAAAGAGATTGTAAGTGACGAGATTACGGATTATCCTTTGAATGGTAGCGATGACGTGGAAGATAAAACTGATATCGTCCCTGCCGAAGAAAAAGATATCGATCCAACGTCAAGTGAAGCGAGTAAAGAGAATTTGGAGCGAAACTGTCCAGTGGTGAAAATTCTAACGGAGGAGGATTTATCAAGTTACACTCTGGCGGATGTGGTCATGCCTCAGCCTGGATGGAAAGTTACGTATCCTCCGTATGCGAAGGCTTGGTTCGACGAATATTTAGCCAAAGATGAATTAACTACCGATCTTAGGCAAAACAATAAGTGAGGGAGTTTACTTGCAAAACGTAAGACTGTAAATAAACTGTTGTCATCGCCTGCCGTCCCTTTTCAGAAAATACAGCTTGAGCGGAGTCTATAGAAATGTACTAGAAATCCCGACAAATCTATCTTGGAAGATCATGCGCTACGAAAAGAAACATGACGATCTATTTCTATCGGATATCGATGAAATGAGGAAGCTCGCGGCTCCACAGGATAAGCCGGGTATAAATCAATTTGCTTCTCACATTCGAAACGTTCGTTTTAAAGATAATTCGCGTTCTATGTATTATTTTCAGATGGGAAGAACAAAGCATTGATCATGGAGATATGTTTGAAGTCTAGCAGTTATGCCACAATGGCCCTGCGTGAAATTTTAAAAAACGATACCTCGGCGGAAACGCAGGCCGCTTTATCCGCAACTTACGATGCGGAGCATACGCAGCCCGATGCGACCATCGTAGACGAATCTGGTAACGAAGACTCTGCGGAAATTGAGAAAGATAGTACAGTGAAAAATGTCGAACATGAAAAAAATAGCGATACAGAGAAAGATGGGGCGATGAAATGATGCGGAGAACTGAGACGTGTTAAAGTTCACTGTAAAATAAAATATCTTTCATAAATTGTTATAAAACATTGTATTACGATATATACATTCTTTAAATAAAAACACGTGACCGAAATGGATCCTTCATAATCTTTTTGATTTGTTAGAAAATTTTCAGAGTAAATTAATAAGTGGTAATTTTGTATTAAATTTTATTATACAAGCAAGTCTTTACAGACAAGCAGCCATCAAACCTGCCACGTTTTCAAAATCTATCTTTTCGGTGATGTTCTTCGTCTTGATGTTCTCATCTTGATTCGCAACGAAGATGATCGTTTTATTCTCTTCTTTCCAACCGTACTTCTTCACCCAGTGTTTCAACGTGGCGTCTGCAAAGAAAAGCTTGATAAATCTCTACACTCGCGCGACTGATATTAAAAATAAGAAATTTATATATCACACCGTCCGTAAACTGATACCGCGTTCGACGAGAAGAGGAAGAGAAGTAGGACTGTACAAAAGAGGGTAGAATAGGGCGAAAGAAGAAAATAAAGACAGGATAAGAATAGGAGAGTCTAAGGACCTGTGTCCACGATGCTAGAACTAGGTCCAAGTTTTAGTTGCGAGAAACGTGTGGCCAATTAACTTGCAGCTATTCCATAAAAGCTGCACGTTGATTGGCCACACGTTTCTC